CTCGTCGGTGGCGAGCTCATCGAGGTCGGCGTGGCGGTTTGGTCCGTCACGGCCAGGATTGCTTCTTCAGCCAATCCTCCGGCCGTCGGGATGTCGGATGCCGACTCAACCGACAGCACGGGCCTCGTCCTTGCGGTGCCGTCGAATCTTCTAGCCGCTCCGGACGGCTCTCGGTGAGCCATGGCTGACATCCCTTGTCGACGGGAGGCCCGATTGGTTTCCCCGATCGCCTGCGCATAGCGAGCGACAGATTGGTAGTCCACATCCGGGTGCGTGGCGAGGTAATTACGAACCTGCGCGCACGTGGCGGGCAGTAACCCCTCTACGAACAGGGACTTCAACCGCCGGTCGGAGAATACCGTACCGCAGCGGAGTGCTTTGTCCCAGAGGTGGTTACTGTAGACCTCCTCCGTCATGTTTGAACTTTGACGGAAGGGGGTCACATCCTCAACCGCTTCGGAAATTACCTCGTCGGTAGCATAGGTGCGCAACAGAAAGTTGACTACCTGTGGGTATGTCCGGAGCAACTCGCGCCGCTCCACGTCAACCGCCATGGTATTTCCATTGAGGCGGGACTGGAGTAGGGCGTGAGCCTGACCGGTGAGGTAGAACTGGAGGCACCACACGGCGGCTCCCTCGGTGATCCCGTTGTGGTCGCACGCCATCTTAAGGCGCGCGAGGAATCCCAATACCGCAATCGGATCTTGACCACTGAACGTGTGGGACCTCATCTGCACGTCCAGTTTCTTCCGATAACGGTTAATGTGCCGCGCTACTGTAGAGTCGTAGCGCGAGCTACGCCGTTCCAGGCGGTAGGTCTTGTAGTTGACGGCCTTGGTAAACAGGTCATTGAGGGGCCTGATTACCGTGGGCCGTCGCTCGTCGCTCGTCGGGGCAGCCCGGCGGCGTCTGCTCGAGCGACGAAGCCCCTCATCCGACTCGGTGTGGTAGTCTTCCCAGTCGGACGGGTCGTGCCGGTGCCGGTCTCGGCTTCTATCGCGGCGTGCCCTGTGGCCCCGCCTGCGAGAGTCTTCCGAACCGGATGGGTCATCATCGGAGGGGTATCCTCCCCCTCCGGCATCGCGGTATCGCCTGTGGCGTGCCTCGCGGTTATCGCGGTATCGCCAGCGGCGTTCCTGGTGGTCTTCATCCGTCCTGTGACGGGGGTCTTCTGCCTCGGAATACCGGGTGTATTCCGCTTCGGTCCTGTGCGTGCCGGGTGCACGTCTTCTGCTCAACCGGTACGGGTCCCGATTCTCTGTCTCGGGGAGCCCCAGGCGGTTTTCTGTCCCGCGGGGGCCGCCCGTACCGGCGAGTATGGGGAGGACATTTTCTGTGGTCCTCCCTGTAGCACTGTGAACGGTTGGGAGATAGATGGCTCTGCCCTCCGGGTGAGGGTCCATCCTATCAATCCCGGGTACGGCGCCGATCGGATCAGCGATATTAAAGCTTGAGTCCGGAACGGTTTCACGGCGCTGGGCCCACGGCGGTACCGCGCCTCCCGTTTCGGTAAATGTCGTGGCCAGACGGATGGCCACGGCGGAGCTAATAGCTCCCTTTAGAGCCAATGCGGTCGGAGATTCGTCCTCCTCTGCCGCGAGCGCTGCCACCACCTCGTTGCGTACGAGGGGGGCGATCTTCTCGTCCAGCAGGGCGCGGAGCGCGGTGTCCGCATGCTCCGCCACCAGTCTTGGTGCCGTTCGGTCGAGGCAAACCTGGACGACCTGAGGTAGTTCCTCAACGAGGAAATCCTCCATCCAGGTTTGCAGTCGCGGGAGTAACGCGTCGTACAGTACTTGTACGCGGTTCCCCCCACCAGCCGGTAGCCCGGCGGTGGTGTCCGAAACGGAAGGGGTCTTTTAGCCCCTGGTAGACGGCGGGCGTAGCAGGGCTTCCGGGTTGTCGATCCCGGGGCGCCGTGCGCCTCTGCCACTGCGGGTACTTGCTCGCCCGGAGGCGGTATCTTCTCCGGCGGAATCCGCACGGTTCATCGTCGATGATCACTGGCGATCGACGGGGTGATTTTCGACCTCTTTCAATCCGATCGGTAATTGCTCGCGCTGGCGATCCGGTGCGGTCTCAACCTCTGTAGTTATACCCCTCCACAAGAGTACCAAAATGTGGTATAACTACCTTCGTCCCGACCACTCGGAAACGAGGGGGGTTAGAGGTAAGGGAGCGCGCGCCGCTGGGTAACCCACGCGCGAGCGCAGACCGTACGGAAGGACTCGAAAAGAGGGAAGGCTCACGTGGCCGGTGACGCGCAGCCGGTCGGTGGTGTTAGATCCGGACGGCCGGTCACGGGTTAGAAGCCTGAGACTAAAAGGGAAACCGGAACGGGAATGCAATTAGCCGTAAAGGGAAGGGAGGCGAGTCTGCCCCCGTTTACTGGAACGGGGCAGGTGCCCCCGGTCTTAACCCCTAAATGGGACGCTAGGACACCTGTCCCGCTACAGTAGCTGTTACTTATTGTATACCAGCAACTGTGCTAAATTGGCTTATTTGTGCCATTAACTACTAATTACTAGTTAGCCACCGTACGGATTATACACGTGTGCCCGTGGCCATGATCCCGGCTGACGGTTGTGCCACGTGTTACCCGTGGCCACGCCCGCTGTTACCGGCTGTCCCACGTCGGACCCTTGGGGTACTACTGTACAAGGCGCCGGGCGCCGTGTACAGTAGTACCCCGTGTACGCCTGCTCGCTACAGTAACACCCGCCCTCCCGCGCGGTTATCATCTCGCCGGGGGTTGTGGTACGGAATTGTACTACAGTTACCATCCAACTCGGCCCTAGTCGTGATGCGCTGATACATCTTGGCGACCAAAGTGGCATTTCGAGAATCTGCTATTACGTGACACGGCCTTGCACTTTCTTCTTTTGTCCAGTTTGGTGCTCGATTCCGTCCATTTCCCTCTGTAATGTCAGGACCAGCCTCTTCATCAAGTTGCTTCAGCTGTAATGTTTTGGAATAAGATGCCACGCCGTTTCTGACTAAGCGGGCAATAAGGGTACTTTTCGCTCCAGATCCAGACATTCCAATTCTCTTGCAGGCGGCGGACAGAGTCGCCTGTGAGCATACATTAGCTGCTGGCTCCGGAGGGTGCGTGGGTTCGTTTCGAAGCACTGACGCGCCAGATAGGGGAGGCTAGTTCTCGTTTGCGTTAAGAGGCCGGCAGCGTGGGGTGGAACTGAGGGTGCTGGTTAAGGGCTGTAATTGGATTTCATCAGCGTTTTCTGTCCGTTGGTGGTCTTGTGCTTCCGCATAAGGCGTTGGGGGGATTAGTTGGGACGGAGAAAATACATGGCCGTACCCATAGTTTTCGTTGGAATCTTCACCAGGATTGGCGAGGGGATGTGAGTCTGGAGTGTTTTGGAATCGGTCGCATTGTCGTTGAGGATCGGTTGACATCCTTCGAGAAAGTGCGGTGCTGAAGTAGTTGCTGAATGGAAATGTGAATTCATGAGGAGCCCAGCAGTTTGAATCCGATTTTTGTACTTTGGCGGCAAAGAACGAGCTCGTCTCATGTGGTACTTGCAAGCGCGAAGGCCGCAAGAGAAGTGCATGCCACCCCTCCAACATAATATATGGCCAATCATGGACCAGAACGGCTCATATTTTGTATTCCATATTTTATTGAAGGTCGTTTGGAATGACCTTTACTGTGTTGTAATTGATGAGGAATGTGTGGTGATGTCTTTTATTACTGACGTAACAGTCGCGAGATCCTGCTCGACTGAAACTCAAGATGAGATACAGAGTTTGGAGAATGATTGGACAACAACATTCACAGCCAAATCAGATGCGTAGTATGTCGATTTTATTTGCATATGCGGGGTTACGTATGCTACAAAACCTACTTACTGTTGTAGTGGAAGAAGTAATAGTAGGCTTATGCAGCGTTTTTTGCATGGTTGATATGTAAGGTCCCCTGCTGATAGATTGGGCCGCATCTTTTTAATGTTTCACGATTTGAGCAGGTTTTAGGTGAAACTTGAGATTTGATCACGAGCAGCTCTAGTGGAGTGAGTATCTCTAAAATATTTACCATTTTGAGTAAATCTATCTCCAAGCAGCCGACCGGATGGAGACAGATTTACTCATTTGCGCAAATAGAGATGCGAGTAGAATTGCGCCACTTGGAAAAATTACCAAAAACTCGCGTCAATTCTATTGACTTGGCGCGAGCAATATTCTCTGTGCAGTGGGAACACACTGTTTCTGTGCACAGGGAACATCCCCAACACCTCCATCCCAAGCTGAATTTACCCGCCACTGCCACCCTCCTGCATTCTTCCTGACGCCTTCCCTTCTCCCTTTCCTCCTCCTCTCCTCCCCGCCCTTCCTCCAGGGCATGATGGTGTCATGTGGGGCTTGAGGGGATGGGAACCGGAGACGTCCCCCACAGTATATCCGTACAGCACCACCACTACCACCCCTCGTACTGGATGACCGTCACGGCTGCCGAAAGATCCAATCACTGCACAACACGTTTGAATTTGCCCTCTAACCGGTAGTGTTGCGCCAAGAATCGTTATCTCCAAACGCTAAATTTCTCATATTTAACCTCTAAATATAACTAAACCAGTAGGGGTGCTCTTAGCGAGGATTCAGGGCCGTTCCTAACGACGAGCACGGTGTGCTAGCACGCAAGCACCCTGACATTTGGCATGAATGGATTGGTTGAACGGGAGTAAAAGCATTTCCAATAATTTTTTCAACCAATACATTCATGCCAAGTTTCAGAGTGCTTGCGTGCCAGCACACCGTGCTCGTCGTTAGGAACGGCCCTCACTGTACAGTACCGGCGTTTTCCACTGGCGCAGGCACACTTCGCGAGAGAGTGCCTGCGCAGCACTCGAGCCTCTGACGAGCTCGGGGTCATCACTTCCGTAACACCCAGTCTCCTGAAATTACTGTAATGTCCCTTCCACCGCCAATCGCGGCCCCCAGCTACTATACTGTACGCTTTTTCTGGCGGTACTGTACTGCACAGCATGGAAAGCACTGCATTGTCTCATACGTACATGTCTCTCATCCCAACTGCATGGAACCTTCTAAGGCCCGAAGTCATCGAGATCTGCCCGGCAGGGAGCTTCGTTCCGTGCAGGCTCCATCTCCATGCCCCCGCCCCCCGTTCACTCCGGTTCCTCATACCCTCCCTCCAGCCCCATCGCGCCTCGCCCCGATCGACGCACCGCCGCTTCCGTTCCCGCGCCATGGTCAAGCTGTCCGCGCCCACTGCCGTGGGCGGAATGATTGTCTTCGGCACTGCGTGCTCACTCCTCGCCAAGCTCATCTACTCCGTGCGCGCCATGGACAGCTACGGCAACGTCTCGCCGTACGAGAAGCCTTGGTTCCAAGTCCTGGCCATGTTCACGGGCATGTCTGTGTGCATTCTGCTCGACTTGCCGCGCCGTTCACGCGCGGCAGGCATCGCCTCGGAGCGGTCCCCGCTGCTGCAGAACTCCGCCCCGGAGCCCGCGCCATCCCAGTCCGTCTGGATCATCAGCATCCCCACCCTGTTCGACCTCTTCGCCACCGCGTGCGGCACCACCGGCTTGCTGTACACCACCGTGTCAGTGTACCAGATGTTGCGCGGCGCCATGCTGGTGTGGACCGCCCTGCTCTCCATCGTCTTTCTCGGTCGCCGGCTCACGCGTCTAAACTATGCGGGCATCGGCCTGTGCGTTTCGGGCATCACGCTCGTGGGCCTGGCCAATATCTGGGCCGAGGATAACCAGCGTGTGCGCTCGGATACGGTCTTTGGCATCCTCGTCATCCTGCTGGGGCAGGTGCTGCAGGCCGCGCAGGCCGTCATGGAGGAGTTCTTGTTGCAAGACTTGCGCATGTCGTCTGTGCGTGTCGTCGCGTGGGAAGGCGTGTTTGGCATCATGCATTGCGTCTTTTGGGTTTTTCCCATCCTCTACTTTTTGCCGGGCAGCGATCACGGGAGGCTCGAGGATACGTGGGATGCCCTGTTCATGCTCACACATTCGTGGTCCGTCGCGGGCATCATTCTTACCGACATGACTATGATGTTGTTTTACAATATTTGCGGCATGGAGGTTACTGATTCGCTCAGCGCCGTGCATCGCGTGGTTATTGAGACGTTGCGCACGCTGTGCGTGTGGTTGATTGATCTTCTCATCTTCTACGTGCTTACGGATGGTACGCTTGGCGAGAGTTGGACCCCATATTCATACCTCCAACTAGCAGGGTTTGCCCTTCTCATTGCGGGGACTATCCTGTACAACTGGGAAAACCTCCGCGCGGATTACCGCAAACGGCAGAAGGAGGCCGCCGTACACGTCCCGCTTGTCGACAAGGAGCCCTCCATCCGCGAGATTGAAGATCGTCCAATCACGGCTGTGCCACGACCCGGCGAGTATGTAGAGCCGGTCTCCAAACCCATGGCCGTCCATATCGAAGATGGATTTGAAGATGACGAAGAGGATGACGAGGATATTTCTGGAAGCTACTATGGCCACACAGTAGGCAGTGTCGCGCATAGCCCGTTTCTTGTCGCTGCGTCCGCGACCCCGTCCTCCTTTGTTGGCTCGTTGCGCCAGCGGAGCGGCTTCCAAACGAGCCCATCTTAGACTGTCGTACTTCCTTGCTTCTTTCGCCAGATCACAAAATGTTTTTGCAACTACTACGAAGAAGTTTTGTTTGATATGTATTATCTGCGCTGGGTGCATGTCTAGTACAAGTAAAGCCCGGCCCATCAATGGGCTTGCTCACTCGCGGAGCCCAGGCGATGTCCCGACCCGCCAACCTTCTTCTCAAGCTCGCGAATCCTTTCGCGCCTTAACTCGTCATCCCGACCTTTTTTCCGTTCGACGGTCTCCTGATGCGTCTGGCCGATGCGCTGTATGGTCACCTCCCTCCTCTCGTTGAGGGCGGTATTTCTCGAGGTGTCTTCCGCGACGGCGCGCGCGCGCCAATGCTTCTCGCGCCGTTCACTCTCCTCTAAGATTCGAAGCATGAAGTGCCCGCCGGCTATGACCCCGATCAGCAAGCGCCAGCCGTACAGCTCGAAGAAGACCCACAACTGCGAGACGGAGAAACAGATGGAGGCGTACACATTGTAGATGGCGCCAAGAAGGGTGCCGATCGTGCTGAAGACGCCTAACATTTTAGGCAGTGCGGCGGAATGCGAGGGATGCGGTGCAATGCAGTTGAGAGTTGGGTGAAGGTGAGAGAGGATGAAAACTAGAGCAGGCGGAGAGGAAGACGTTTGTGCACACAGTCGGTAATAATATTACCGACTGTGTGCACAAAAAGCGCCCCCCTCTCATGCATTCCATATTATGGAATGCATGAGAGGGGGGCGCTTTCTGCAAGCATTGCTGCCAAGGGCCCTGCTGTGCAAGAATTTAGTTAATTTCAGGTCAATCCGCCTCTCAGAGGATCGAACCTCACTCGTTGAGCTCCAGCAATGCATCTTCCCCTTCTCTTCTCGTTCACCCGCCACACATCGCACTTCAGACCCACTGTCTGTGCTCGTGTGGTAGGAATGTTAGTCTCGAGTAGAAGCTGAGGCTCGGTTTCCCTGAACGTGCGCAGCGGAGGGAGCGGAACGGAGGTGATCGAGCGAGGCGAAGCGAAAGGCCACAAAAGCCACCGGGGGTCTTGTCTCGTGAGTGCGTGAGTAACCCCCGGATTTCTAGTCCCTTTAATTTCCCCTTGATTTAAGTACCCGGTAAAATTCCCCTTTGTAATTTTGGGACCGGCGGCGCACCGCCGCGGACACTGCCAGTCGCTTAGGGCTAGCGCAGTCCTCGCTGTACAGTGCCCACGACACACCCCCCGTCGGGCTACGTTCGACGGCGGCCAGCGGCGGCCGACTACACGCGCACGCCGACGGCGGAGTATATCCGTTGGGAATGTGGTCCGACTCCCTGGCAGACCCCGGTCCGCGGGCTTCCCTTATGCAGCGCGTCCTCCGAGACGGAGTTATCCACTTCTTCCCTTTACCTTGCAGCGCTTGCCTTACACGGCATTCTCCACCTACGATCGGTCCCTCATTTCGCGCTGCCGCACACCCGCTTCTTCAATCGAGCGGCATTTCCCGCTCCTCTCCTTGAGCCCGTCGCGCATCTCGCGATCCGTTTGGAGCTCCGTGGTCACAATCTCCCTCGCCGCGCCGCCACACCACCGCGCCAAGCATCACTTTCTCAGTCTCCCCTACTGGGGCCTCATCCATTGCAGCTGCCGCGCGCTCCGCCCTTCGTCTCGGCGTCGAGCGCTTTGTCTCGTCATCCTCCGCTTCGTCTCGTCATCCTCCGCTTCGCGCCTGCCCTGACCGAAACCGATAAAAGCGCCCGCGGGCCACGGTACGGAGGGGTGCGCGTGAGGCTTCACGATGCCTGACGTGCGGTGGGTCTCGATGGAAGCTAATCGCGCACTGCTTTCCGGAATGGAGATGCTGGATGGCGAGCGCCGCGTTCAGCTACACGGTGGCTCTCGAGTGGTGTCAGTGACAAAAGAGGCACTGATAAGGAGTGTGCGATTGCCCCGAGAAGTTTGTGGCGAGCTCTGGGATTGGCTGTCGTTGCGCTGTGGTCGCTTTTTCACCGAAAGAATGCTTTAGGAACTCGGGTTCTTGACCCTTTGGGGTTCTCGGCTGATGGACCCCGGGGCTGACCAAACGGACTACACTATTCGGCGTATTGTGTTTTCGTCCGGGAAGGACGTACGGTTTGGCGAGCGGGGGTTCCTTGCCTCAGCAGACGACCGCGGGGGACATCGCTCCTTCTGGCCCATCGACTTCTACACCATGAAGTCGCACAGGGCCGTGGGTAGCTTGGAGCAGATGTTGGAGTTGAGCAGTGAGGTCGATTCTGACTTAGAGGTGAAGGAAAACGGGAGCGGCCTGCAAGTGGAGATAGTTTTTGATGCTCACGCCGAGGCGAGATATTTGGACAATCTGCACCGGGCTTGCACTCGCCGGATGGGCCACTTCTTCAGACTTCGATGCCCCGGTGCTCGCGGGGATTCGGCTGCAACGCTCCACCGCCGTACGAACGTTCGCAGCTTCGTGTTCTCTCCACGTGGCCAGTGTCTCCGAGCCGCGATCGGGAATGGACTATACGCGCTGGCTGGAGAAGTGGCTGCACTAGCCATGATGAATATCCATCCGATGCCAGCCGTGAGCGTCGCCCAAGCTGGAGCGTGGCTCGAACAGCGGTTGGGCTCTTACCGCCTGGAAAAGGTTTCGATTCCGAACCGTGTTGACGAAGAAGAGTGGTTGGCTTCCCAACGTGATGGGATCTTCTTGTCCAGGTTAGGGGGAATGGACAGTTCAGGAGAAGAAATCGACCATGTCGTCGTTCTGGATGCCAAGATGCAGCTCGTGTATGATTGCACAGAGCGTTTTGCACTACAGATTGGCAGGGGAACCTTGAGCGCTTGTCTTGGTGATGGGGTCGACCTACTCGGCATTCCGGAGCTTCGTCGCCTCACCAAACAGCCAGTTTGGAAGCGCAAGCGTCATGGTGGTGGTAGGAAAATATCCACCGAAGTTCAACGTAAGCGAAAGGATGTTTCGCGAAAGAAGAAGCCCTTTACCACTGGTTCCTCTCAGACAAGGAGGAGGATGGTAATCGATGAGCCGTAGATGCTAATTAAACTGGATCCGCTTGGCCTTATCGAACATGCAAGGGTCCAGCACTCCATTCAGCATGACCTTGTTCAGCTTTCGGAACATTTCCAAGTTTCTCTTCGTCAAGGCGTCGGCAAGGTTCAGTTTGCCGGCAATCCACTGCATCGTAGCGATCTCTCCGTTTTCGAAGGAGTCTCGCATTCGTGGTACTGTGGGTCGGAGACGGTAATCTGTCCCTTCGGGGAGCGTCGTCACTGTTGAGTACAAGCCGTGCGAGTCAACCGTGAGGATAAACGGAAGAGGGACGTCCGATCCGTACACTCGTTTGAGGCTCTCGGCCATTAGGTATCCACGGTCTGTTGACGTTGCTGCGGCAAGTATTTCAGCTCCAACTGACGAAAACGCCACTCGGGATTGCTTGCAGCTATGCCAATCAAGGACATGGTACACACCGGCACCCTCCGCAGGCAGGTATATCCCGGAGAGGTATCCGGTCTGCCCATATGAAGTGGAACCATGGCTAGCATCGGAGAAGCACAAATACGAAGGGTCCTTGTCTAGCATCGGGGGAGCACAGTACTTCAGCTGTGGAGTCAAGCCCCGCAGTTCTTTCAGAACCTTACTGCCGTTTACAAAGTCAGAGACTCTTAGGTTGCCTACAGCTTGCTGGAGGTAGCTTGCTGCAAAAGAAGCCTGCGGGAGGACACCATGACCAAGGAAGTTCAGTGATCCTACCAAGCCAAGGTACGACGTGAGTTCTTCCGGGGTGGCTCTTTCGTGGAACTGCTTTTTCCGTTCCCGAGACAGCGCCGGAAACTCGATTTTTTCCATGTACTCTTTCATATCGATGTGCACTGTACCATCAGTGCCTTGCGAAATGTGGAGGCGATTGAAGATTAGCGGGCGGTCAACGACGAACCGGCCAACTTCAAATCGTTTTGCAAGCGCAACATGGAAGTCGTTGACTTCTCTTGGTGAACCGACTACCAGGAAATCATCCACGACCTTGCAAATAGCAAGAGCAATATTACCTCCATCGCCGAACTTCATGAAGAGTTGTGGCATGCCAGGGATTGGTACAATGCCTTGCCGAGACATCCAACCTTCTATGGTCAGCTGCCAGAGTCTTCCAGACTCGACGATTCTATAGGCGGGCTTGAGAAGTCGCCACAGAATCCCTCGGGCCGCCCAACCTTTTGGCGGTCGAACATAGATGTCTCGAGAAAGGGAACCTCCCTGCAGGTACGCACCCTCAATGTCGATTGTGGCTATGACCATGTTCAAGACGGCGGCGATGGACAACACCAGTCGGATCACTGGGAATTGTGCAGTTGCGGAATCCTTCCGGAAACTCTCCTTATCTTTGTCGCGGTTGCCGTGAGGCACAATTCGACACTTCAGCCGGAGTTTGTCCTCTTCCCCATCGGTCTTCACTTGGAAGAAATGATGCGATGATATAATGTTGGCACCTCTAGGGATGGAACTCAACCTGACTTCTTCAAAAGCACCGTCGTAGTTATTCTTCTCTGCAGCTATGGCTTTGTCAAGCAGCCATCGGGGCACGAACTGCAGTTGAAATTCCGAAGCGGTTTTATCTCCGATGATCCCTTTTACTTGCCGCAGGACGTCCTGCTCCATGGAATGGAGTTCAAACGGGAGCTCCGGGGGAGGCGTGACTCTCACCTCACGGATGTCCTTCTCGGGACGAGGTGGGTCAAACGGTTTGTTGAGAGTGCCCTGTTGCCTTGCCGGATCTGAAGGAGAGACTTCTTCCTGCAGGGGTCTCTCAAGGTTGCGTGAGCTTGGAGACTTCTTAGTATTCGCAAAGAAGGCAGGCTGTTCTTCGAAGTACCTTGCGACATCTTCATCAGCATGTACTCTTGAGTCCTCTCTGTCTTTTCTGATCTCAAGAATGTCATCGTGTAGAGGAGGGTGGACGTCGTTTCCCTCTTCCCACGGAAAGCTTGCTGGGAGATCATCCTCGGTCGGCAAAACTTGACTCCGGGACTCGGCGTTGTCGGTTTGATGCTGGTTCATCGCTACCTCAGTGTCATCCGTATCAACGACGGCGTACGACCGGGGGAAAACGTAACCAATCTGGTTCAGATCCAACAGCAAGGGTGACCGTGGAGCTATGCGCACATCTTCATACGCAGCCCGAATTGGCTTTCCACGATGTTACGGGTTATTTGAGACAATAACCATGTGCGGCTCGACTGCACGTGCATACCCGGATTCCCATTTGCCAAACTTGACGTTGCGTTTGAAGTAGTAGACGAGAACGCCACGTCGAAGGTCTTCGGGAAGGACGGTGTTGGGTGACCGGCCCTTGTCGAGCATCAAGAGGGCCCGACGGACAACTTGCTCTTCGTGAGCAGCGATTATTTGGTCCGTCACAACACTTTTTGGGAGTCCAGCGATGGAAGGAGTATAGCCCCTAGCGAGTTCAAAGCTGGTCATTCTCTTGCTACCGTACAGTATGTTGCTCACATATGTTGCACGGGAAAGAACGTCGGACTTCTCCACTTCCACGTTGCGAGTCTGCATGAAGAATTGTGCATCTTTGGTCATCCTTTGGGCTATCAACCGGACCACCGCATTCTTGCTCTCAACCACTCCAAGCTTGTTGTGTCTTCGAGCAGGACGGGGCTGGAATTTGACCCCTGCATACTGCAAAAAGCCCTTGAACACGGAGTTATTGAACTCTGGGTCAGATGATACAACAGCTGGAGGACCGTGTACATCACACCACTTGTTATCGAACACACGGGATGCCTCGTCCATCTCTCGTGTAGTCATGAGTGAGGTAACGGAAAGCCCGGTGTGTACGTCGACGATGTGGAGCATGGGCTGATTACCCAGCTCTGTGATGTACATGTAGTCTAGCTGAACGTGGTCGTTGAAAGATGAGAGGAGCTTTCCGAAAGAGACCTTTCTCGAGTTGGAAGGTCTTCCGGTGCTCTTGCAAGACGTACATTTCGATGCAACTGTGGTGAGGGCTTGCCTAAGAACTGAGGAGAGAATAGATCCTCGTTTGCATAACTCGAGCATATCGTCAAGGGGCAAGTGGGAAGAGCCATGAAGCTTGAGCGCAAACCTCTTTGCCACCTTTCCGTCCATAAACTTGGTTCTTCCGAAAGGATGCCCCATTTGCCTCGACATGAGGGAGCGCAAAGATGCGAAGTACGTTTCGAAAGACGAAGTCTTTGAAGGTACCACGAACAAGTACGTTCTCTTGGCGTCTTTATCTTCCGGGGAGATTTGTTCACTATATGTCTGAAGCACGACCTCTTTCTGTGAGAGGCCGCACACTCCAGGTGGTATGACAAGGGCGTTCTCTGGTCCGAGCAATCTTGACTTGTGGAGCACTTCGTTGCCGAGAAGGAGGAAGCCAATTCCCTTTGTGACGTAGAACGGAATTGTTATGTTTGTCCCATACATGTCCGTAATAGGCATATTCCATATGGCAACCACAAGCTCGGCTTTGCTACATTCCATTCCATATCCGTGATAGAATGGTTTGCAATCGAGCGGACGAATGGATAGCTTGATTCCCATTTTCACGCAGAGTGTAGCCGCGGCTTGGATGCCGCCGACACTCCTCGGACAGCCAACGTCAAAAATTGGATTGGGGTCCTCACGTGAGGAGAAGACGTCGGACTTGGCTCCTCGCCTGGAAACGAGACTTAGTTGTCTCTGCGTCCCAGACGGGAGCCTGGACGAAAAAAAGCAGGAGATTTGTACTCGTTCCCAGTGTTCCGGAAACGGTCGTTCCCAGTAGTTCTTCGTCTTTTCGCGTGATGGTCGGACGCTGAGCAGCGCAGATCACCACGGAGGCGTCCCTGCTCACCACAGTCCGCACAGGTGGTCCTGTAGGAGCGTGTTCCAACTTCTTCGTGAGGGCGCTCGCGTCTTCCTCTGGGCGGGTTCCGACTACGTCCACGAGCTCCATTGCGTACGACGTCATTGAATGCGAAGTTGTCGGATCCAGCTCCAGAAGCCTTATGCCCTACGGCGAGAAGTGCTTGTCGAACGTTGCGCTGCACGAGGCTTTCAACGTCCTTCATGCTCATCGAGGGACCTTGGGTTGACGTGAGGGTCAAGTTTCCAAGGACAGAAACGGCGTCATCTAAGTGAAGCTTGCAAGGCTTCGCCTTGGACAAGATGATACCCGCTACTGAATTATTAGGCGTTTCATCTTCCTGCGGATTGGCGTACAGTTTCTGAAATGCGTCCTGGATTTTCTTTCCTGTCCCTCGTGCTTGAGAGCGGTACTTACGGAGGGCATCCCGTAGACCATTTTCATCGTCTGTACGGAAGTACAACGGACCTTGGAGCTCTCCTGCGCTCTCAATAACAGACTTGAATTCGTCGAGATCTTTGGTGGAGAACGACCTCGTTGTTGGGGGATTCACTTCGAAAGTCCGAGCTTCAGCCAACAAAATTAACTGCAGCTTGGCATTAGTCAGAGTGCCCTTTTCGAGGTTGGCATTGTTCAACGAAGTGATTGCCAGGATTTCACCAATCTGGGAAGACGTCGAGGCGTTGGAATGCATAAGATGCTCCGCAGCCAGTCCTCGGAACCGTGACACGAAAACAGAGATATCTTCGTTCTTCTTTCGGCGGCAGGTTGATACCTTGTGAAACGAGTTTATCAGCCTTGATACCATAGCAATGGGGGGTCAATGGCGATGAGATTCACAATGTCTCGACTGGCTGCGACTTGATCGTTTTGTTTAAAATCGATCGTTCTTGCTGCCTGTGCTTCGTCAACAATTGACTGTTGAGCACTGGGCAAGCCACGCTCATAGAGCTGGCGCCCAAGGGTGGCGTACACCGTGGCGTACACGCGATCCGTGCCACGCTCAGCGGCAGACTTTATAAGGTCTACCCAGCGAGGGATTTTCCGCCGCCAATCCTGAAGATCTCCATCCGGATAGAAGAAGGGAGGGTCTTAACGGCTCTCGCGATCCCGAGCCGAACCACTCCCTGGGCCCATAACTGTGGTAGGAATGTTAGTCTCGAGTAGAAGCTGAGGCTCGGTTTCCCTGAACGTGCGTAGCGGAGGGAGCGGAACGGAGGTGATCGAGCGAGGCGAAGCGAAAGGCCACAAAAGCCACCGGGGGTCTTGTCTCGTGAGTGCGTGAGTAACCCCCGGATTTCTAGTCCCTTTAATTTCCCCTTGATTTAAGTACCCGGTAAAATTCCCCTTTGTAATTTTGGGACCGGCGGCGCACCGCCGCGGACACTGCCAGTCGCTTAGGGCTAGCGCAGTCCTCGCTGTACAGTGCCCACGACAGCTCGTTATTCGAAAGATGCACTCCTCCTTCCAACCTAAATCCCTGCGACCATTTCGGTCACCAACCCGCTCTTGACCATGCCTTATGTTAATAACATCAATATTCGAAGGCAATCCTCTGCACTCTTTGCCTTCTGCCAACCCTTTCCTTTCATCCGTTCCCAACGCCCCTTCCCTCTGACCCTCTGCCGCCCACTCCTCCACTCCCGCCACTACCTCACTACAGCCATCCTCAAGGAAGAAAGCCCATCGAAAATCAAGCCTGTAATCCCCGAAAATCCCCCCTCCCCTACGCTCCGCCCTTCCCCACAGCTCTCCTCCCTCGGCCCCTTAGACACTTTCCCTCCACAAGCCCAAAATGGCCTTCTCCTCTCCCTAGTTCCCTTCCTCTGGGGCTCGTATGGCGTCGCCGCAAAGTACCTTTTCGACACCCCCACTCCCATGCCGCTCTCCCTTCTCAACCTCACCGCCTTCTCCTTCGCCCTTCTCTCTTTCCTATTCGTCCGCCGCATTCAAATCTCACAGTCCGTCCCCGACTACGACACCTACCGCGCCGGCCTCGAGCTTGGCACCTACTTGTACATAGGCACTTGGCTTAATTTGGAGGCCATCGAGCGCACATCCGCGTCCAGGGCCGCTTTTTTGGTGCAGTTAACCACCGTCGTGGTCCCGCTTGCAGAGTGGGCCCTGGGGAAGAAGGTCGAGCCTCAAGTTTTTGCGGCCTGTGGCGTCGCCATGGCTGGCGCGGGCGTACTGGCACAGAGCACTGACGGAAGTGGTGGGGGCATGTCTCACGCCGTCGTCGGCGCGCTTAACACAGGCGATTTGATCGCTGTCGCCGCTGCGGTGTTGTACAGGTTTGTTGTGACAGATGTCTTTATGTTTTGGCGCTGTGCGTGTGTATGGTGGCTGAGACGTGGGAAGAAGCGGAAACTGACATGGGTGCGGGCCGATGCTATAGTTTGCATGTGTTGCGGCTCGAGCGGCTTTCGAAGAAGACGATAGGAGCTAGTGCGCTCGTGCAGACGAAGATCATTACTCAAGTGGTTTGGTCTGCGTTTGCGGTGGCTTTGGTGATGGCCCGTGGCGATACGGAGGTTGGATCGTACGTGGCCAACTTTCTGGAGATGCCGACTGCGGAAATTCTTTCTGCGGTGTGGTGGTCGTTCTGGATTGGCGCGGCTACCACCGCGTTGGCCACCTGGGCGCAGGTTGTGGGGCAGGAACGGGTTGGACCGTCGCGTGCGGCGATTTTCTATGCATCGCAACCGCTGTTTGCCGCAGGGTTGGCATGCGCTTTTGGGATTGACAAGCTTACGCCGCAAGAGATTTTGGGCGGGGGGCTCATAGTCGTTGCTGGTGTGCTGCTCGCCGTTGGAGACAGCAGCGATAAGCGAAAAGCGAACGATGGGAATAATTCTGTGTAGGGTGGTGCCGCTGCTAGCAAAGGGTACCCCTTGCAGCCTGGTTCGCTAGTGCCTAGGTAACAAGTGGCCTCGTATGACGCCACTTTTCAACATCGTCGTTTTGCATCTTCGCAATAAGCGTCTAAGACGGAAATGGACTCCACGCATTACCGATTGAGTTTCTAACTGCAGCTGCATCGAGTATGGTACTCAATGACTGTTTCGCATCTCTTCCAAACGTCTCCGTGCATTAGAGCCCACCATTCCGCTGTGGGAGACGGCCGCTTTGCTACATGCAAAACGGGTGGCCACATTCAAGAGACGTACTGTAACACACGTGTTGGTTTGTATCATAATAAATTGCGAAACTCAGGGACTCTCTTGACTCATTCTCTTAGCAAGTTAGTGACGTCTAACCGTACACATTTGGGAATGAAGCGTAAAGCCCTTGCTCGAGAACCAGCCCACAGTTTTATGTGTAACGTTTATTTTCAAATACTGCAACTGTTCGACTTGGATAGAATTAGCGGCAGCCAAGGCTTTCCCTGGTCGGAGCGCCTGTGACGGGATTCTGGCCCTTTACGGTTGGGTTGCGGCATATAGACTTTTGTGCAAAGTCGCCTATGTAAACATCTGTGAAGTCAACATTTTCGAGGTTGGCGTTCTCGAAAGTCGAGTCGCTGAGAACGGCGTTGGCGAAGATCCCATTGGTCAAATCTGCACCATCGAAGGTGACGCGATCCGCAATCGCATTCGTAAAGTCGACATCCCTGAACTTCGCATTCGGAGCGTATGACTTAGATAGCTGCGCGTCCATGAGACTAGCACCAGATAGGTCGGCTCCCGAGAAAATTCCGCCAGAAAGATCAAAAGACTTCAAATCTTTCCCGCGAAGATCACACTCCCGGAGGTCAAGGACTTTGTCACGGGCGGCATTTGCCTGTCCGATGGAAGAAGAGGCAGGCATGCAGCGGCTCGGGTTAGCGCGGTCGATAGGAGGCAGCTTCATTGTTCCAGCAGCTTCCGCCGGGCTAGGCAGTGAAAGCGGTCCTACTGTTAAAGCGGCAGCTATCAAAGCAGCGGAGGCAGCCCTTGACACATTAGTAGCGAAAATTTTCGCAGCTGCACTGCACGTGGCGTTAGAAATTGCGGCATTCGCCGTTTGCGAAACCATCCGCCTTAAAGGTAAAGGAGTGCCCGGGATAAACGCTTCCATGCCAAGAATGTCGCTTCAGCTTTCCCACAGGATATATGTACGAATAAACAGCAGAGACGAGCTCAAATCCGGATTGAGAGAGCTCAAAAGTGGCAGAATGAAGGGTTAATTCACGCTAAGACTTGTGGAGGTTCGCATCACCAAAGGCCAGAGAATGAGAAAAGACCAGGGCCCCCGGGTCCTTGGGAAATAGTGAGCCAAAGAGGCAAGCGCCCTGCGCGAGGTCTCCGTGAGGTCGATGTGACGTGCTGACGAGATCGAGTGCGATTTCAGAACATTACAGTATGATACTGGTACGGTGTGGTGCCTACAAATGGATGGAACCACTTGGCATGAAACGGCCTTTCAAGCACTCAATTGGATGTATCCGCACAGCGGTAAATGCACCAGAGGTGCGTACAGTACCATAATCCTATCACGGCGATGAACATTGCATTGCTCCTCAACTCTCTGATTAGAGAAATAATGGATATCGGGCCGTCCATGCTGTGAAAGTCAAGTAATTGTTGCAAGTATTAAAAGATTAAAAGATAACAAACGTACTGCACTTTCCGTACCTATTACGAACGAAATCCCTTGTATCATCTCTCTTGCCTTGTTACGAAGACATATTGAAGCGAAAGGTGTTTGTTAAGGACAGAACCAGTCGGTGTCGACGTGCTGCTCAGTCACTGTTTCTGTTGCTCGGAAGCTCAGACATTTTCTGTCAAATTGAAGCAATACATATTCATCGTACAGTGGACTGACGTTGATCAAAATGAGGCTCGTCTGCCGTCAATTGATCCCACAGAAGCCTTCTCTCGCACCTGCCGCGGTCAAAAAATTCATATGGGTATGTTTTGTGTGTGAAAAGAGAGTCAATGCGAACGTGTCCAGCCGGGAAAAAGTCAAGCTGGCTTTTCCAAGGAACTATCAACCGTCGTCTATTCGAAATTAGTCTGGAGAAAAATGAGGTTAATAGAAGCAGTTCATTTGCAACATCATAGCTTATTGCGGAGTTTAGGGTCACATGTATCGCATTTTGTTGTAATGGATGTGTTGTAATCAACCCTTCCATTCGCGAAAAGGCAAGTGCAACGCGTCACTTCCCTTTGCCATAGTGTAGTTCTTCCCCCCCCCCCCCCCCCCCTCCCCACACACATACATGGCCGCCAAAATCGGTTTCTACGATGAGCCGAATGCCGGATGCTGCTGTACTGTCAATAGTCATGTCTTGACAGTTGTGAGAATGGCATTACAGTATATCACTCAAAGAAAAGTATAATTTCGTATTTAAAAACGTGAGCGGTTATTGGTTCCTCCTTTCTACAGTGTGCTTTACAAATTGATCCACGTTTTTCACAAACACTTGGCGATCCTGCCTCCCGTGCCAACTATCTCTTCTCCCACGAGGGCTCGTTGATCGATTTTGACGTTTAAAGCGCTTTTTTCTCCTCCGCCACAACGCCAGTATTTTACAGCAACTTTCGGGCGTCGCTGCGGATTTTCAAGTGTCGCTGTGAACGACGAACGAAGGGGGTTGCCATCAAGCAGTCGCCCTCTGCTTCGAAGTTGTGGGAGTGCGACTCACTCGGCGGCATCTATTAACCTTATCGGCTCATTGTATTACTGAATCGCGCTTGTGGTGAAGCTGTTATGGAGTGACCATCTACGTCTTTTTGGCACGTAATGCGCGCATTTCGAAAATAACGCGCTGTTGTTGTGCATTACTACTATTCGCGCTAACCTGTTCACGTTAAGAGCCCATACCCCACTACGTCCGCAATTCCATTACTGCATTTGAATCATAGTCTATATCCAGCATGTCTACACCAAACCGGTCAGAGGCCGTTCTTGAAGCCCGAGAGGCCTTGCGAAAGCTCTCTGGAGATTTGGCCGTGTACCGAGACCCGGAAGTACAGCGCCATCTTTTGAATCCGGCGCTAGGGTCAAAGAGGCATCTCGACTCCAGTTCTCCAGCTGAACTTCACGCACTAATCATCAACTTGCGAACTGAACTAAATCAAGCCGCAGAGGAGCGTCAACGCACAAAGGAAGATATTCTCAACGCCCGAAAACGAGCTGCTCGTGCGGAGGGGCAAATTGATGAATTGCAACAGCAATTGACGCAAAAAGAAGTTGAGCATGACGAAATTGTGGAACAAGCGAGCACACGCATCGATGCGCTCGTCAAAGAGCACAGATCCGCGTTGCTGGCTGCGAGAGACAAAGCTTTTCTTTTGCAAGAGACTCTGGAGAAAGATCACCTTGGACATAAAAGTATTATCGCGGAGAAAGACCGACTTCGGATTCAGTGTAAAGAAGCCGAGTCTAAGCTAGATGGAATGCGACGGGAAATTGAAGCGACGGAAGAACGACATGCAATTGAGATGAAAGCAACTGTGGGAGATATGGAACGTGCCTGGAGAAAAGTTGATGCACTGCAAAATGAGGTTGAAAGGTTGCGAAAATCACATGGACATACAAGCGGGTTTTCAAAAGAAGTTGCTACGTCTAGAACGCTAGCCAAGAAATTGCAGATAGAGAATGCTTCTCTAAAGTCGGAGCTTGCATCACAGAGCAAGGAATTAATTGCGAAAAGGAGCGAACTCGCACGGGCAAAGGCAGCTGCTGATGACACCAAGGAAAGAATACAAAACACGCAAAGCGAAAGGGCAGAACTGCTTGCTCTTCGGGAGGAAAAACGTTCTCTCCGAGACCTAAGAAGGAAGTCAGCGAATTTTGAAGACCACCTCTCGGCTTTAGCGCGCGAAAAAGAAGAATTAACCGGAATGATTCGAGACCTGTCACCCACTTGTGATGTTCAGGAAGGTTTGGAGATTTTGAAGGCTTCGAAATTCGATGGATTGGCTAAGGGTAAAATGACAATAGCGGAACGTAACGTACTGAGCCAGAAGAACAGAGAACTTGAGAATACAGCGAAGCAGAGTCAGAACGATTTAGCACGCCAAGCAAAGCAAATAGCACAGCTGAAAAAAAGCCTGGAAGATGCGGCAGCAAAGCTCACCCAAATGCGACTTGCAAGAGACAATTCACTCTCTTCTGGAAAAAGACATGAGCGCATGCGAGGCATTATTGAATACGAGAAAAGCTTTTTCAAGCAAGCACTTGAGAAAATAGAAACAGACTTCGACAAACCTCAGAGCACAGATCAATATGCTGAAAGGCTGAGGAAGCGTGCTGAGATGTACGAGAAGTCGTGTGAGAAGTACAAATCAGAATTGAAAGAGCTTGAAACTGCTTTGAATGAGCACCGCAGAAACGCTGAAGGGACGGCGAAAGGATTGATCAAAGCATCATCCGAGTGGCCGGGAGATGGAAAAGTCGTTACTGACGCTGAAGGAAGAGGTCCAGAAATAACCAAAGCTTTGCAGAAAATGAAAAGCACCATCGACGCACAAGAAAAAGTAATCAAGAAATCCGAGATGTTTGAGAAACGCGCCAAGGAACTTGAAGCAGAAGTACAGCGGCTTCGGAAGGTACAGACGGAAACTGAATTTGACTACGATCCTGCGGTAGCAAAAGTTGTACACATGAAAAGCAACCCTCTTGAGCAAGCTGTGAAACGAGCACAAGAAGAAGAGCAAATTAAAGCTGGAAAGAAAAGGATGCGATTGGACGTCGGGGATTTGTCTCCGGGAAGAGATGGTGCGTTAGACTCTCGGATATTGGGCCTTCAGAAGGAAATCCGTGAGTTAGAGTCGAAGAACGAGGACCTAGCCAAGAAATCCAAACTTGGTATTCGTTTAGGAGAGGTCGCCAAGAAAAAAATTGAAGAAGTACGGGCAGCAGTGTATAACTTGTTTGGGTGGTCTATGAATGTTTATGGCGCTAATTATAGGATTAGCTCCATTTATGCTGAAGGGCCAAGAGATTTGCTTGAGTTTGGTATGAACGAAACTGGGACAATGACTCTTATGGAGACTGAGTACACCTCCAGATTAGCGGAGGAGATAGAGCAATACGTCCAGAAAATGAACTCAGTTCCGGCTCTTCTGGCCAGTATCACGATAGAAAACTTTGAGAAGACGACATCATTCGCATGACGTAAACGCTAACTATGAATTGTCATTGACGTTAATCACTTCTCGCTGTCTCTAGTTGTTCCTGCTTTGGCTTACTTTTTTGTTTTTAGGGGAAGAGATCCGGCGAAAATATACTGTACTATTGTTTATTTCCCATCTTCCTAGCACGTGAAGGGAAGGGAAGGACGGTTTCTTAGACACCCAGGTCAGACGCCCGTGCCCTGCTGGGTCATGAGGATCGTGATTTTCTGTAAGAATTATTTACGGTTTCTTTTGTGCCCTATGTGTAGAATTTGAAAGAAGATAAGATTGCTGCGACATGTAGGGTAGAATGTGTGGCTCTATTTTGTTTGGCAAAGGACCATCTGGTGTGGGGTGCAAGGCGAGTTACTCGCGACTCACGAAGAATCTTGCCAAGGCCTTTGTCTCTCCCGCATTCCGTACATACTTGGGTTATCTAACACGTCACGCTGTCAAAAGATTGGACCTGCGTAGCTGACCCTACCAAGCCGAAAGCGACACAGTGCCGTGCGCTAAATTTTTAGTCGGACTTGCGTTCTGGAGAACGAAGACTAGCGCTCCATGACTGGTTTGAGAACGACCATTTCATTGGCGTCATCTTTCATCCCGTCCCGGCCATTATTCTTCTCTAGCACGACAAACAAAGCTGTGCTGTGCACAAAAAGGCATTGGGTCGATAACTTCTCTTCAACATCGATGAGCTCTGAAACGACCTCCGTCACAAACGGTGTAGCAGAGGCTCTGCGAAGAGTTCAGGAGCGTATTACAGCTGCCGCTTCTGGATGCGGAAGGCCCCCGCCGGAGCTTGTCGCTGTCTCTAAGACAAAGCCCGTGGAGCTTTTGTTGGAAGCGTACGAAGCTGGGCAGCGGTCATTTGGCGAGAACTACGTGCAGGAAATAGTTGCGAAATCGCCACAACTACCATCCGATATCAAGTGGCATTTTATCGGCGGCTTGCAATCCAACAAGGCCAAGGTTCTTGCTGGGGTACCCAACTTGTACATGGTTGAAAGTGTAGATAGACAGAAGACTGCTACAGCTCTAAACAAAGCATTTGCAGCTGTTGGACGTGCAGAGAAACTGAAGGTTATGGTGCAAGTGAATACATCTGGGGAGGAGTCGAAGTCGGGATGCCAACCCGGCGAGACTGCTCAACTGGCAAAGTTTGTGGACACAGAATGTGACAACCTAGAGCTTGTCGGCTTGATGACTATAGGAGCTTTCGATACATCCGACGAGCCAGAGGCTTTCAAAATTTTGGCAACTGAAAGGGATGCTGTCGCGGAGGTGGTCGAAAGGGCAGCGTCGACGCTGACGCTGTCGATGGGAATGAGTGCGGATTTCGAGGCGGCAATCCGCATGGGAAGCGACTCTGTTCGTGTGGGAAGCACAATTTTCGGCGCGCGCGAGTATCCACCGAAATAAAGTTCCTACTACTACAGTTCGGCAAACGCGAAAGTGAGTAACAACGGTTTATTAATGTGCAACAAAAGTGCGGGCAAGATGATAAAGATGGAAGCACGGTACGGCGCCCGTGTTTGTAGCAAGCTCTCTTCTGAAATAGCCTTTTGGCCATTCGAGGCACGCGTCACTCAATCAAACGCTGCATCGAGCGTGCCGACATTGACAATGAAGACAACAGTAGAAGAGTTACTTGGATCCTAGACGGCCCCAGATGTGGAGCAAGACGACCACGACGAGATAGACGATAGAGCTCATGACGACAAAGAAGGGGCCGACCTTGAAGCCGGGTGCCGCGTCATTGTAGAGGCGAACTGAGAAAGCGCCTGCGGTACCACCTTGACTACCGGGAGTCGGGGCGGAGGCGGAGGACCTTGACTTTCCTGAGGGTGCTCCTCTTCTTTGCCGCATTCCCCCAGCCGAAGGACCGGTTCCACTCATCTTTGATGCTTCTGCTCTAGGTGACGCAGGGTGTCCTGCACTGTGACTGGGACGGACGACTGTTTGACGGACAATGGTGCCGCCTGGGTTGAGACCGAGGGAAGGTAGTTTTGATGAGCGTAGAAGAACGAAGTGTAGAGCAATACGGTGAGGGTCTGTCTGTGCAGAAGTGTGAACAAGGATGAGTCCGAAAGGTGGACGGAGAAAGACCCTGGTCGGTCTCTCCCCTCGATAGAAATCGATTCAATCAACAAATTTGGGCGTCATGTGTAATGCCTGTGCCTTACAGTTTATGTCTTACAGTATAAGGAAAATCTGGATTTGCTTTGATGGCTGCATGCGTATACAGTACTCTACCCTCCGAAGGGTAGTGCGTGGCCAGCAGAAGTAGATTTCCGATCCAATCTTGTAAACAGGATGGCGCATCTCAGAAATCATCGGATGGCGGGAAGGATAACCTGAGGTGGTACTGCGTGCAATGCTTCCCCGATCAGGTCAAGCGCCAATGACATGTAGGACGTGAGTCTAGAGAGGATCGAGGAGGACAGCCACAATTGGTAAAGAAAAGAGAGAATTGGGCACTGTTGCAACGTTAAAAGTGAAACGGAGGGGAGACGTCATGGAAAGGCAGGTTTCTGGGACGGCGTTCTTTTCATCCGCAAACACTATCCCCTGGTAATAGAACTGAGTGCAAGTTATTTCAATGATCACGGGGACGAGGGTGAGCAGTTTATGGGCTAGTTGTAATCACGCGAACAAGTGTGGGTCCCGCGGCATTGTTATTAACGCTACAGATCAGCAACGGAAGCTTTTGGTTTTCGACGTGGTGGAGTTTCTAAGATTTTCACTTACGCTCATGCAAGTTATGCCTCTAAACCAGTAAGACAGCGGCCCTTATGGATAAATTCCCGGGCTCTGGTTCGAAGGCAGAATTGGTTTTTTGTTGTTTCAGCTTAAGGAAGGGTGCCATGCTGCAGTGCCAGGACGGCTGGAATGACGTTATCACGCAGATTTTAGTGACAGTAGTGACGGTGGTGTTGCGAGGAAAGTGGATTTGGCAGGGGGCCAGTGTATAGAAGCCGTGCGGTACACAGGAGATTACTGTACAGACGTTACGACATGGTACAGCAGAAAAGGGTACAGTGCCTTGTGGTGAGTGGATCCAGATTGGGATTGCATAGGGAAACAAGGGAGTTATGTGTGGGCTGATAGTGCATAAACAATGCGGAAGGGATCCGGATCAGTGTCGGGATGAGGACGGGGGTCGGGTGCGCGCGAAAAAGTAGAAATCAAGCAAACATGAAAGGTGGGCATTTCAATCGTTCAAACAATATGTTCTCCGCCGTTTTTCATACCTCTACTCAAAACTGCAAACTGCAAGTCGCCCTCTCCCCCCCCGCTTGCCCCGACCCGCTTCTCCGCACCCATCCTTCCAACCGCTGCTCAGAAGCCACTCTCACACCCCCCCCCCGCCGCGCCCCGTGTTTTCGAATCCCCGCTCTCGCTTTCTCTTTCACACTATCCCCACCGCCTCATCTTCCGCTCTCCTGTCCCTCACCCCCTCCCTCCCCCCTCCCTCCCCCCTCCCTCCCTCCCACGCATCTCTCAACGACATGTTAACTTCACTCAAATCTTTTACATCACTTACTTCTGTCCTCCACTTCCGCCGTTAAGTTCCGCACCCGTTACACCGCCTCCACAGTACTGGGCCCACACCCCCGCCCCGCCCTGTCATCGGCCATGGACAAAAAGAGGCCCGCGGATTCAGAGCCTGATACACCCTCCAATCTCCCACCTACAAAGCAATTGCGCCCCGCTGATGAACCAGAGCCCCGGTCCTCAGCGGATGCTTCCGGCCCACCAGATACCCCGGCTCCTCCGTCCTCAAGCAATGTTCCACGTCAACCCGACGACAATCACAGTGAACCCACAGAGGAACCAGATCCCATCGTCTTCTTCCAGCGCGCTCAATTGGCGGCCAAAATTGAAGAGCAAAATCGTGACCTCTTGTGGTTGAGAGATAAGGTCAACGAGCTGCAGAAACTTGTTGCCGTTCTTGATGCAGCGCCTCGCGCCGCCTTATATCACATGCATGCTGTGAGAGAGGACCTCACAATCACTCTGGCACGTCTCGGACTCACCGCTGAGTTGGATCTCTCACAGTGCCCTATTGCCGCCACCCTTCTTGATGCCGAAGTTGTCACAAATGAATCTTTAGCGGAGATTCCTGCCGCGTTAAGGGAGCTGTCGGCGCAGCTCATCCTCGCATATGAGGCCAAGAGTTTCAACACTAATGTCGAACCAGAGCGGAAGCAAGCGAATGAAGATTTACATCGTCGCCTCAGGGAGGTTTCCGATCAACTTGAACGTTACGCGGAACGAGACAAAACCCACCTGGTTGAATCTACTACCTTTCGAGATGAGTCTGATGACCTCCGCTCGACGTTGTCCATGCAAAGGAGAAAAATTGTCGCTCTGGAGCTTCATATCCGGGAAAAGCAGGAAATCCTAACCGCCGCTTTGTCCGCGAAGAAGGAGGAATCAAGAGTAGCTGAAGGTCCGTATGGTGCCGTGAAGACAGAGAACATCATAAAGGATGCCACTGACCCAGCGGGCAACCATGCAACACAGTCTGCAAATGGCGAACTAAAAGAGGCTGAAGCAGCTGCACGAAAACTCAGCGAGGATCGCCTCGAAGAGCTCAAAGAGTTGAACGAAAGAGTCAAACGCTTAGCTGTCGACAACGAAACTTTGAAAGCAGACATCGCCGGCCGTGAGAATAATGTCTTGCCCTTCAAAACGATCTTAGGGACTGCCATGTACCAAATAATGGAAGCAACACTGCAGGAATTGTACCTGAAGGAACAAACGTCGCAGGCAGAGCGCGACCAACAGAACGAAGACAGAGAAGCGGAAAGAAAGGCTTGGGAAGAGCACCTGGAGGAGACCAAGACAAACCATGAAAAGAGCATGGCAGACATGCGACGGCAAATGGAAGATTTGCGGAGAATAGCTGATGCCGCGAAGATCGACAAGGACAAAGTCGTTATGACTTACGAGGCGCGTAAAATGGAGGCTGGCAATGCAGCTTCAGTCATTTCTGCTGCTGAACGACGGGCTAACGTTAGCGAGGAAATGAGGAAGAAAGCAACCCAGACCATCACCGATATGAAGGTTGATGCGGAGAAGCTTCGTACCCAGATAACTGACCTGCGAAATGAATTGAAAGAAAGACGATCGGTAAGTTATCCTACTTGTCTTGCACTACCCGGGTTTGCACCTGCACAATTTCGCTGGTGCGAAGAATTCCGGTTTGCGGACCCCAATGAATATCTACGGAACCCAGTTATGTGCCTTGACACATCTGGCAGTGTACCTTGTGTGATCAACCATTATTTTCCTAGCGTAGACTCATGGGAACGCAGGTCACAGACGGTTTCGATTCCGCCTGTCATTACTGCAAGTCCCTTTGTCTTTACTGCAAGACCATACTAACTCTTTTCGCTCTTTCTGCTCTGTTTGACTCTCTACTGCTATCTCACAGTCTGGTGACACCAAACTTGTCATTGAAGGGTTGCAACGTGATATAGAAGACGAGCGCGCTAAGTCCACTGGATTCATTCAAGAGGTGGAATCGCTGACGACCATGTTTTCAGAAGTTGAAAGCGAAAATGAGAGACTCGTAAAATTAGTAATCGAAAAAGATCAAGTGCTCTCCAAAGTAATGGCAGAACGATTGCGCGGCCGTCAGCTGTTAACAACAGTGAAGGAGGAAAATCGTGCCTTAACAAGTGGGCGAGACATAGACGCCGACAAAATCAAAGCGCTTACCGCAGCTGTCACAGCAGCCAAGAAAGCATCTGCTGAGGCCACAATTGCAATGAACAAGAGCATGGAAGAATCTCGAACCTTGGCTGCGACACTGGAAAAGAGAAGACGAATCGCTGATGAGGCCACGGTTTCCGTCAGGGCTGCGACGGCCGAGAAAGAAGAACTGAAACGAACACTAGATACGCAACAAGCACGGGTGGAGCAGTTGGTGGCAGAGTACCACGAGGACCAGTTCCATGCCAAGCGCTTGTCCGAGAAGCTTGTCGAAGCTGAGAAGCGAGTACAAAAAGCTGAAGAAGCACATCGAGAGAGCATGGAGAATGGGCGGGCCTCAGACGTGGATTCTATTCGCGACGAGATTATCCGGGAACTGCGGAAGAAACTGAATTGTTCCATCGTTACCAACCGACCAAAGGAAGTGGTATTGTTGCGATGCGGGCATTTGTTTAGTAGGCAATGCACGGACAACCTGATCGCCACGAGAAATCGAAAGTGTCCGATATGTGGAAAGCCGTTTGGTAATGACGACGTCCGCAGTGTATTTTTTTAAAACAGAAACTGTATCGCAAATTCCAAGAAACATCATCGACATGTATAACTACCCTCTATTGTAACTTCCTCGTATGGGGACCACAATCAGTAACTGAATGAGTACCCAGACGCTGGTGCACCGGTCTTTCAGTTCTCAATAGAGGCACAATGCTCTGTGAGATCGACAACCACAAAACATTGGAATATCATTGTATTTTCGGTTGATACAGTATCACTCGTTCCCTTGGCCGATGCAAGTCCTTTTCTAAATACTGTATCGCAATGAGCCCTCGGTGTCTGTCCTTTGGTCTGATGGTTGACCTATTCACGGAGAGCAATTGAAGTCCTCCGAAAAGGGAAGGCTAGCGACAACTGCAAAATTTGCGGCTTCACGTGGCCAAGCGGAGGGCCAACGACAGTGGCGAATCTTCTGCTAGCTTCTGAAACACGCCTGCAGCGCCATTTCTCAGCCGAAGTCAAGCTGCAGTTCATCGATGGAAATTGCCATTGAAGCGTTAGCCGCCTTGTAACCTAGTTACAGTGAACTACCGTCTTCAACTGCTCTTCGTACAGAGAGAGCATCAGTGAGGATCAGTGGAGAGATAGTATTTACGTAGTGTACGCAGAAGGTATGATGTGATATGAGGGGTTGGAGTCGCGAGTGCCGCCTTAATTTCAGAAACACATGCTTTTGCAATTGCCGTTGCTATCAACAATGTCAACGGGTGGGGAGGCATGGGAATACACGGTGTACGCCTGTCGGCGCTTTGCTTTTCAAACGAAACAATGACCGCTTCACGTCAGGATCCGTCATTGGCGAGTCCACGTATTCAGGATACGGTGGAGGGGCCGATTAAAGCGGAAATTTATTTTGATTCTTGGGTTTTCAGACAGCAGGCGCTATAATGTCACCTCTTCGTTTTACCCCTTCTACGCAGAGCCTTGCTTGTGCTTGAGCCTTGTAAAATTTTGTTTCCAGGATTTAAAGGAAGCTTCCCTGAGCAGGTTACAAATTGCCGTGCATCGATCATCCACCCCGACGCCATCCCATTCTATCAAAATTGCACTACTACGTCCACATCCTTGATCTGTCAGGTTTCTTCAGGCAGGCTTGCACAGCGTCACGGAGCGCTCATTGATGACTGAAAACTTCACTATTCCCGCGACGACCGCCCTAAGAGAGAACCATCACCTGATGGCAGATGCAACAAGAACAAACACTCACCAAGTGGAGACGGATGGTTTGAGTCACCCAAACGTCACAAAGAAGGATGATATCCCAGGCGCGGTTCCGGGGCCATCTAAGCCATGGGGAGAAGACTTCATCAAGGATGTTGTTAATAAGACTGTGGACGAAGTCATTAGGGATTCAGACTATTCTCACGAAGCGACATCGATATGGGTGAACCAAATTGTAGAGATTGTTGTGCGCTCCCTTGTCAAGGTCGATCGAGACAACAAATATATTGGTATGTACATGCTATTCATATTATGCTGCCGCTTTGTGCCATGCCATGAAGTCATACTGACCGCAGAGCTTCTATTTGCGAATCGCGCCTCACTGAAATCGAAACAGTCACATGCATGGTCGTCCAAAATTTGAAGCAAGGCATGCGCTCCGCGACCTCATGCTATTGGAGTTCCCGAACAGATAGCGGATACTCACTGACGTAAGTTGAGCAATGGTTGAACTCCGCTCCACTGCGTGAAACTGAAATTGTAATGGAAATCTCTAACATATATTCTTTGTCGTAATCGCCTCTCCAAACGGATGATGTCCTGGCTTGCAACGAGTACAGAAACGAACGAAATGGTATGTACGTCATCACCACAGTGTTCGTTTGTCAACCATAATAGTTTAATCAGCATGAGAGACATATGCTCGGTACACGGAGGTAGTATTAACCCGCAAGCTGGGTCCAAGGTATGGATGCTAGCAGCCTGTCCGTTATCGTGCACAATTGCAATCGAAGAGGCGCCATTTGTAGTCCTTCAAAGTTATCGCAAGTTCTATATCCTTGCTGTTCGTGGTCAACTAGATCCACGTGAAAATCGCTGCAACCTGTTCACAGGTTTTCGTCATTGAATATGTCATTTAATGCTATGTGCGACTTTCTTGCTCTACCAAAACCGGAACTTTTGCTGAGCTGTTGTAAACACTTCCATTTGAACGTTTAACCTACTGGGATACTGTGAAAACCTCGAAACACTACGCGCTCTGCAATAACCGCACGGTGATAGAATCGGGAGCGAGCGATTTGCAATATTGAATAAATCCCTGCTCTGTGGGCGTTGCAGAGCCTATACTGGAGCCTATACTCTTGACTGGGTCCGTTGGTGAGAGGTATGACTCGAGCAAATAATCTGCATCATGCCCTGGGCGTAGCTTCCACAACTGGCATGGGGCTATTCTTTGTGTTGCCACAGAACGCGCAGACTCCGAAATGGCTTCCTCTACCTGAGGGGAGGCTTCTTCTCCCACATATACAAATACATTAAACCCAGTGTCCAAGACGAGTACGGCGTCCTTTGTAACGTATGACTTCTGAAGGGGTACCTCCGTCATGAGTCCACCTCCCTCAGCCGACATTGCATTCGTGAAAAAGCGCGGGGACATTAGCAAGGAGGCTATTGAACATTCGGCCCTCAAAAAAAACGATCGAAGGATAAGGGAGCAATCTGGATCAACTTGTCGCTCAATTAGCAGGCCTCTCCTCAACTCGTACAAAAGCCGCACAACGCCAGCCGAGGCTTCCGATCCACGAAGTAGCCGTCGTACAGACACATCGATCGACCTCGCCGCAATGTGCGGATGGAACAAAGCCCCACCCGATACCACGCAAGCCTTGCCAAGGATAAGAGCACATATCTCAACATCGATGTTCTTCAAATAATGCGGAATCGAAGTGGTCAAGGGTATCCGCACAGTCACAACTCTCGTTGACTCCAGCGACTTTGCTGCCAGCTGCACTACAGCATGGGCCGGCAAGTCAGACTGCTCTTCAATCCCCTGCTTCGGTTTTAGAATAACAGTAAACCCTGCCGTCGGGTCAACACCTGGAATTGCGTATGTCTGCGGTGCAGCGGTCGGAAACGCAGGCCCTATCACCCGTGCTACTGCCAAAGGAGAAGAGACACGTATCGCCACAACTCCGGGCCTTGTTGGCCTTTGCGAAAGAAATGTCGCCGCTTCGGCGAATGCTGCGGCGGTAGAAAAGCTGTGTGATGCAGCGTATACCAATCCACCTCGTGACCGTTTTGCAGCCGCCAGAAGCATTGTACCTGCAAACCCTTGCGGAGCTCCAAAACACAAAAAGTCGAGGGCGACTCGTAAGTCACCCGCCTTTGTACCAATATGGTCATACAAACGCGAAAGTACTGCTCCTTCAGACTCGGCGTCTGGGCTGGCCTTTCCGAACAGGCCTGTCGCTCGAGTTTCGACAATAGGCAAAGGAGGAAGGGTGGGTGGTCCAGTCAGCAGGCACAAGATACGAGAATTCTCAGCGTCGGCCATGCCAGAGATAAATTCAAAAGCGACGTTTATGGCAATGTCCAGCCTCCGTAATTCTTCCTCTGATGCAACGCGTGTTTTTTGCCTCAGAGGGACATCGTCAGTTTCCTCGATATGCTCCCCGTCTTCAACTTGCTCCCTCTCATGCATCGGCAGAGACCGAGGTCGAATAAATACGTTTGTATACGGGCTCGCGGAAGCATTGTCGTCCACAATGCTTGACTGACCAGACGATTCTTTACCCGGAGGAGGCCAAAAAAACTTTTCTTTTTCTTCGGGATGAAGCCTCTCAGCTTGTCGCTGACTCAGCATCTCTAGGGCTGGAACAGTTTCGTCATGTTTCTTGTAGTGAACAGCGGCTGAACAGCCGGCACCAATCGTCAATAATGCGAAACGCGAGCCGTTCGCGGTAGCCGAGGCATGAACAGAGGCAGCCGCAGCGCGGGACCAGCTAACCTCTTCGGGGTCTAAGTTTTCATCAACGATAAGAACTACAGCACCACGTCCACTCGGTGATCGTGCAGCACCATCAGGGTGTACGTACTCGACAAAATCGACAGTCAGCTCCGGTAAGGTGATCTTGTCTTCGCTATGCTGCGCAGCAATTTCGCCGCTGTCGTTATCATCTCGACCGCAGAAAACACATGTCCAGGACCGTTGCCCGCTCCTGACCAGTTCCGCGCCATTCGCAGGCGCGAGGAAGGAACCACAAGTTCCGCATCGACTCGGGAGGCGAGACAAGCGAGGAATGGATACGGCCGGACCGAATGGAGCCCAAACGAAACCGAGGGGGAGGGATAGTGTTTCCATGCCATGTTGGTCAAGCAGTGCGGTTGCAGCGCAGAAACGGAGAATTGGGAATGAGGAGCGGCTCTCTGAAATAATTGAGGGAGATTGGGGAAGTTCATTGATCAGCACGTCTTCCGCTTCGTCTGCACGCGCCTCCAAGGCGGTGGTCTTCGGGGAGGAGGCCGCAGGAGACGGACCCGAACGACGCGGGGTACGAGGCAGGGGAACAGGTTCTGGTGTCGATGGAGCCGGCATTTCAGGGTTTGAAGCGGAGGGATTTTGATGAGAGTTCTCAGTCAGCAGCTGCGATGGTGACTTTGCTTCGGGATTGGGTATGGGTTTTATCACGGCCATGGGTGGTTTGGAGTCCAATTGATGGTTCTCTTGTGGCTTGCCATTCTCGGTTGCTCTTATTCTTATACCCGCTTGAAATCTAGCGAGGAAAGATTTGGTGTTCGAGATCCAGAGCCCCTCACTGGGTATGTCAAAAAGTCCAGGTGGCGCGGAACCCCGTTGCACGAAATTTGGAGGGGGGGAGGCGTGAAAGCCTGGCGTTTGCGTCGTGGGTTTGGAAGAGGAGGAGGGAGCAGGTGGCATGGCGATGTGGGCACGTCTCAGCGACGCATATCGCCCCGCGCTCGGGAATGAGATGGAGTGTGACGCGGACGGGATGGCGATGCGGTGTCAGCGTTGTGTCTCTTGGCAAGGAAGCGGCTGTGATCCGGTTCGATGTGTCAGTGTATTGCTTGAACTGGCTTGCAAATCGCATTGAATGAAGGTGACGTACAGTACATCAGAGCCAAACCGCGAGTGATGATGAAATGCGCAAAAACAAATAAAAATAATACTATCTGTCAGTAGATGCGCACGTACAGTAGAAAACCAGTTCGCGCGCACCAAATTCATATCTACACAGTAAAATCGTAATTCACTAGGAAATGCACAGTACAGCACCTTCACCGCATTTATTGATTAAAATCAAAGAGAACACAATGCATTACCCGTACAGTACTCTAAAACAAACCACGTAAATGGAAGGAGATGCGCACGTAACACTTCCCTACTCCGTGTCACTGTCATCAAACAGTGCACGACGCGTGCCACTAGACATGCGAACGCGGCGGTTTTCTGTGTTTTCAACGTGTACACGGCGCCTCTTTCGCATCTGACTAGTTGATATGGCCCGTAGGCGATTACGTACACCAGTGCTGTGCTGCCCGTCCTCGAAGCGGAGGAGGCGGGCCCTGAGACTCAGATTGGTCAACGCCAGGCCCGCTTTGAACACGTGCTCGTACAATCCCTCTCCCCAGCGCCACTTATGAGAAAGTACAGTCCATAAACTGCACATTCTCCCAAAGTAGTTTTCTACTATGACACGATCAGAAGATACTTGGCGATTGTAGTCCACGTCGTCCAATGACAGCGTTGAACGTGCCGGGGTGCGCCCCGGGTGCACCACAGGTAGATCTTCGGCTGCACCTTGATATCCCTTGTCCGCCAGTATGGCCCAGTAGTCATCCATAAATTCGCTCAATCGTCCCTCATCCGTAAACCGCAAATCACGTACCCCCTTTTTAGATGCCTCCTCATGAAAGGGTCTATTACGACGAAATATCTCCAGATCCGACACGGAGCCCGGATAGTGCTCTGTGCACCCAATAGCAAGCCCAGTAGGCAGTACTGAAACTTCCACTTTGTACCCATACAGCTTATGCTTCCCGGAGAAGTATCGCTTCCCTTCTGATATATTTCCACTTGGACGATTGCTCTGCTGAAAAGTGACGTCGACAGCATATCTCGCGTATTCAAAATTCGAAAACACCCGGTCCTCCAGACGACACTTGGCCATTGTCCATTTTTCCTCGACGCGTGCCACACATATATCATACATTTATTCTGATATCATACGTAGAAATCCAGTTATTAAACGTTCGAAAGTAGAACATTTAACAGAAAATAGACGAGCTGTAAAGTTCCATTGCTGACCATGCTTGAGTACAGTAAGTGTCATAAAGAGAACATCCTGGGCCTTGTACTTTGTTCTTTTACCTCTGCCAACATTCCAATTCTTTGACACGTAGTCTTCAATCATAAGCCACAGTTCGAAGAATTGAGAAGAATCAAAATTACACATTGCCTTAATAGATTGAGAACCTCCGTCATTGTAAAACGTGTCATAAATCGGACAATTGGAGTCGTTCTCATCATCGCTGGCGACCACGTCGTCATCAATGTAATCGACGATTTCATTGACGTGTCGGTTGGTGATGTGCGAAAGAGCCTGAACAGCGGGGGAGGGATTCATTTTTGAAATTGTAAAAAGAGTGGGAGAAATGAGGAGCAGCTGCAAGAAGTGGTTTTTCTATATCAACTGCGCAGTTGTTCCATTTTATAGTGTTTAGTTGGAGTAGACTGAAACTGCGAGGCATATCTCACAAAAAGGCGGGCTTTCCCGTTTTTGAAAGTGGACTCGCAATTGAAGATATGATGCACAACTTATGCTATAATCTGCGTTGCTGTATTATTTGCACACTTAGTTTACTTTTCTACTGATATTCCCCAAACTCAAAGTGCTTTCACGCAACTGCAATACTTGAGGTACTGTACGTAGTTACCCTATCGGTACTGCAGTGTAACATGGGTACTGTAGAAGGGTACCGTTTGCTTGGTTTGGGACACTTTCCATCACCCCAAAAATATAAACTTTCAGAAATTTATTCCATGCTTTTGAAGAAAAATATCCACGCTGCAGACGGCCACTTTGTCGAGGGGCTTAATTTGGGACACCCTCGACAAGAAAAATTTCACGTTAACGTGGAAGAGAAAGTCCTACGAGTGCTGAAGCAGCTTCGTCGCGCAAGGCACCCCCCTTGGGCGTGACCATGCGTGGAGGTTGTCCTTCCAATGTGCTGTACCATCTGGCTATGGGCAAATCTTCGCAAATCGAAGAAAATCGATCCTCACGCACAAATGTCGGGTTCACTGCGCAACCGACTCCACAATTCTCTTTTTCAATGCCCTCAGGATGTCCCACCTGTTTCTTCCTTCGAGCTGTAAGTCTGTTTCCTCCCCCGCTAGCCTTTTTGGCTTTCCGTTGCTCAAACTCTTCAAGCAAATTTTTTACGGTCAAATGTTTCGCCTCTTTGCCACCTACAAGAGCCCAATTGGGCAAAGGTGACGTCGTTTCAGTTCTCGTGGGACCACTATGTTCCTGCAAAACAGTATTAGCGAAATATTTCGATGTGGTCAGCAAGGAAATTTCAGAAAGTGCTCTCGACGGTGAAAAAGATTTGTCACAAATCTCCCGAACGCGTCTGAGAAGCCGTCTATCTGCCTCCCTCCTCTTCATTTGATGCAGCTGCTGCAGGCCAAATGTATCACAGCCCTTTGCGATAGCGCTGAACCAGTCTGCGCAGTAGTTCGAGCACGAGCACAAACTGCACAGCAGAAACAAACCTGTAGTCCACAGGCCATAATCCAGCAGTGACGAAAGGTTTCTCGATTACTGGTTTTGTTATGGCTTTGTATCCCGCTGCTGCTAGTTTTGGTTTGAAGGCAACATTGGCAAACCCAATATGGCAATTCGACAGCAATCCATCGCGTGCAGCTCGAATGGATTGCTGAAATACACGGTTGATTGCCTGGTCACAGGGCTGCAAGAAATGACTAGTGTTTGCAGGAAGGCGAAAGATTTCGACGTTGTTTTCTGCACCATACTGCAGCCATTCTAGACTGTTACGGGACGGTTGCCCGTCCAAGATAAGCACAACTTTTTTTCGGGGCAAACATGCTTGCGAATGAACTCTGTCACGTGCTCCACTGCATCTTTGATGACTTCACCATCAATTGAGCCATTTGGAGTCACACATATTCGGGTGGAGGGCGGGCACCAATCCGTTTTCGTGAGCCAGTTCAATGACCCATCCAGACATGGGAAGTCTTTTTCCTGGAAAGGCTCCAACCACCTTGACATTACTTTTTTCCCAGAGGCAATTAAAAATAGAGGAGCAAGGAGGCCTGATGCGGAAGCAGAGATGCCGGCAGTCACATGCTTTCCGTGATCTTTGACTGCTAGTCGTCTTCCGCCATGGTGTGAGGTAGCCGATGTGAAAGTGCGAATCCGTTTCCCGTACTCTGCCAGCACACTAGTCTCATCCCAGTTCCACAGCCTATTTGGGTCTTCAAAAATGCCCGGGTGCTTTTTTTCTATTTGCAAGAGAACATCTTTCAGTGTCGTAACATGGGCGAGGTTTTCTGCTCCTAGACGAGCGGCGGTAACATTCTCGGAGTTTCGATACGTTAGAGATCGATTTCGGGCACGAAAGGAGCGGATAGCGGCGGGGGAGGGAACATTATTGCGAAATCCGCGACGGCCGTCGTTGGATATTTTCGCTTGCATGCTTTGCATTGTACTAATATCAATTGCAAATTCTTTTTGGGACGCCTGGATAGCCCTGTGGCACAATAGTTCTTCCTCGGCGTCTTCGAGAACTTTTTTCGCCCTGCGAAGTGATGAAGGGGGTCAAGCAACTTTGAAAGTGCTTCCTTCTGACCCCCTTCATAGGCGCTTTTTATGCGCTGAACTTTAGAGCGGCTCACATTCGATATGCTGGACGTCTCCCTGAAGCTCCTTTGCGCTTGGAATAGCTCAAAGGCTTTCTCTCGCTTTTTGTTCTCATCCTTTCTTCGCTGTGTCTTCTTTTTGAAAGCGACGGCTTGAGACCGCATTGAAGGGGGCATTTTCCACGCACATTCGCGTTTGGAGAGATCTATGGAACGCGCGCAGTGGGTATATGATGTCTGGAAAGTTTTGGCGCAATCAGAACACTCCTTTACTTGTTATGACTAAAAATGTGAACGCGTTGCATAGAAAAAAGGTGTCCCAAATTAAGCCCTGTCCCAAATTGAGCCCCTGAGAACGGTACCCTTGGTTCCCTTCCTGAAAGGGGCAATTTGGTAATCGCGGCAATTTGGTAATTTTTAGTCTTCCCCTTCCAGAATCTCCAAAACGCTCCGCCCACATGCCAACACTACTCGTACAACTAAGTACGTCCTCCCTAGTTGCCCTACGCTGCAGAAGTCCGGCCAAATTCAAACTCCTGCTACGCCACGACGTCCCAACCTTCATCAACCTCTCTCCTGTAGCACCGACATCATGACTTCAACTCCAGAATTGCGTGAGTCATGGGACTCTCCATGCGAATACAGAGTGCGATTGAAAAAACAAGACAAGAACGCGGCGCATTAACAAAAACGCAGCGAGAGAAGGCCACCGCGCTCCTTCGTACAGGTATTGTGGTATAACTACCTTCGTCCCGACCACTCGGAACGAGAGGGGTTAGAGGTAAGGGAGCGCGCGCCGCTGGGTAACCCACGCGAGCGCAAACCGTACGGAAGGACTCGAAAAGAGGGAAGGCTCACGTGGCCGGTGACGCGCAGCCGGTCGGTGGTGTTAGATCCGGACGGCCGGTCACGGGTTAGAAGCCTGAGACTTAGAGGTAAAACCGGACGGAGTTAGCAAAAAGCCGTAAAGGGAAGGGAGGCGAGTCTGCCCCCCGTTTACTGGAACGGGGCAGGTGCCCCCGGTCTTAACCCTAAGTGGGACGCCAGAACACCTGTCCCGCTACAGTAGCTGTTACTTACTGTATACCAGCTACTGTGCTAAAATGGCCAATTTGTGCCATTAACTACTAATTACTAATTACTTACCGTTCGGATCCTACACGTGTAACCAGCGGGGTACCACTGTACTCCGCACCGGCCGTGTGCTGTAAATATAACTCCTTACCGTTCTTCTCGCGCTTACAGCCCATCGTACTGTATCCCGGGGCGGCAGCGGTGGTGCGATTGCCTTCGCGCCGTTGTACTACAGGTATGAAAAGGTCTGTCGTCGTGAGAGCGACACTAGTACCCCGGGCAACAGTAGATCGCATTTATCACGCTCCGCAAGAGCATGAATTGAGAATCGTCGCCCTCCTATCTCTCGAAGCCCATCGCAGAGAATGCCGGCCAGTTATTAGTGAACAAGAGTCTAGTTTGATTAAGAAAAGGATTTTGTATGGAGCTGAAAAGGGATTCGCACTTTCAAATAGTGATGTGCCGAATATTATGACTGAGATAGCGTCTGATGGGCGTACAGGATTTGGCACATAATCTGGCAGCCCATCTTAAGACACCGTCCGGTACTGGCGGACAGTGAATAGAGACATCACTTACCGAAAAAGTGAGAACTACGTTGTGGCAAAGTTGGCGGCTGAGAATTTTACACATATGTCAACGTTCTCTGAAGCATTGAAAAAAGTTCAAAATTCCCATCCAAGCATATTCACGGACCCGACGCAGCTTTGTAACCACGAGACAGCTATACAACGCCAATATGGATTGAGAACTAAAGTACTTGAGTCCTCGCTTTATAATCATGGCGGGTTATGTGGCGTGTCAAGCTAGAAAAAAAACAAGCATATTACAATTTGGGTGGCTGTTCTGCGTCTGGTCACAAAATACCGCCCTTTTCATTGTAGAGGGTAAGAACGTAATGAGTGGATGGATCTTGCCACTCCAACAGACCGAAATAACATGCCATTCCCTTCAAATCTGATGGTGGTGACATTGGCTTACAGTGATATCACTGTGGATAGATTACGTTGAGCTTCGAAAAGACTTTGTTATGGCCAATGAACTTTTCATTTCCCGACAGGTTTAAGAGACAAGAACCAAATGCGGTGTCATATGACCCGAAAAGATGCCAGGCAGCTTTAGTAAATGTCGCAAATAGAACTCGCAACCCCGACAATCAGACTTTTCGCAAGCTCAAAAAACATTTTGGAGGCAGCAAATGACCCCACATCAGCACTCCGTGATGTTGAAATATTGTTGAGCAAGAGCAGGAGTGTGAACAAAATCCTTATGATAAGCACACGTTCCTCGAAAAGTAAGAGTTCGACCGCAAGTCGTCCGAAAAGTGTTGATTTGCAAATAGGGACACCTGCTCTCTATCTGAAATTGGACGAAGTAATTGAAAGCCGAAAAGAGAGAGACGTAAAACTAGCTACTGAAAGGCGACTCAAAGGTGAGAAGAAGGCAGAACAGGAACGCAAGCGCGTACAGCTGCGATTGTCGAGTGAAAATGGCCGTGGAAAGTCAACGTCGGGATCAGTAAACCAGATCCCGCACGCGACGAGCATTTGTCGCCCACGTCTGGGGCGAGGTACGGTGCGGCAATGAGCCGTACACTCTCGAAGCACGCCTTCAGGAAGGATAAAGGCGGTGAAGATGAGATGGTGCAATCTCTGTTGTCGCTTTCCGGTTCATAACTAAAATTACCAAATTGCCCTTTTTCTCATTTGAGCCCTTTCTGCACGTGTGTGAAAATGTCAAATGGCTTCAAACAGGTTGTTTTCGCCCACGCCCCTTCGTCGTCTATGGCACATGGACATCCCACTGGCTGTAGCAGACGCTTTTTGGTAGCCCAGGATAGTGCCATAAATCACTTGCTCCCTCAAAATAATTACCAAAATGCCCCCTCGGGGAAGGGTACCCGTGGTGCCCTTGGAAGGGTACTGTACGTTTGTGTGCCGAATGAGTGACTTCGGCTAAAACTTATGATGATTTTCCTTGTTAATATTTTTCAATTTCCCGGTTCTTTTTCGCGCCCTACAGTATATTCAACAGCAAGGAACGGATCACCCTCCCCCCCTCCCCTCCATTGCGCGTAGCCGTCACCCTGTCCTTTCTGGTCAACCCACAGCAAGCAATGTCCTCCTCCCCTCCAAATCCCTCTCCCAGTGCAGCCGTCAAGAGCGAACAACCGCTTGCCATATCTGCTGGTTCGGAGGCTTTGGAATACGTCCCAGCTCCTTCCGTTAATGCGAAAAAAGATCAAACACCTGACACAGTCGCCCAAGCCCAGCCCCCTGCAGACAAGAAAGAAGAGCTTGCCTCTTCGCCAACAGCGTCAAACCTTCCAGAGCCCGACATGAGTACTACCGATAAGGAAAAAGACGAGAACGCTAGAAACTCTGCTGAGCAGGCCGCGAAAGGTCAGGTCCCAGAAATAACCCAAGCGGAAAGCAAGATAGAATCCGAGACGGAGGCAACGTCAGAGAAAGTTGACACTCAAATAACCCCAGGAGAACGAGCGGAAATCCCGCCCTCTACAAATGTCCACACCGCAATGGATAGCGAAAAGAATGAAGTGCCGACCCACTCGCCCACAGGGAACGGCGCCGCCGCGCCCTCTTCGACGCTAGCTGATAATTCCGACGACAAAGCCACTAATTTGACAAGCGCAAAATCTGCCGCGCAAGCGTCTGATTCGCCCTCTGAAACGGCGGCCGACAATCCAAATGAAAAGACTTCTGACGCGGACGCACCAGAAGAAAAGAAACCGTCGGAGGATGAACTGCAGCAATCCGCTTCAGAAACACCTAATGCTGAATCGTCGGCCCCCAGCACTTCATCCCGCAAACGCTCCCGTCGTCTCTCTACAAAGGCATCCGCTTTATCTCCTGTTCGCACTCTGCGACCGCGAGCATCTACGAAGCCCCTGAATGTAGAAGCAGATGCAGCTAGACCGGACGCTCAGGCCGTCACCGTTCCAGAAATTGTGAAAGCCAAGAGTGAGTCTTCCGTTCCGAAGACTGAGCCTTCCCTTCGCGAGAATGAAACCGATGCGGCTGCCACTAATGCCAATGATGCCAATACTGGAGAGGATGAGACAGATGACAAACCCCGTCCTGTCATGACTGAAAAAGGATTGAGGATGGTCGTTGGCGATTCTGTGTTTGTTACCGCTGATCAGCTTGAGGACATCAAACGACAACGCATGCGCGGCAAGAACTTAAAACCCATCGAAGAGCTCACGTTTCAGGACATTCTCTCATACAATAGGGATCAGCTCAGGTGCTATTGCTACATTTACTCCACCCCCAGGAGAAAAAAGAGTGAAATGGAAGTAGACATGGCCAGATTCGTGTCCCTCTGGAACGAAGGCAAGCCAGGCTTCGTTTTCGCCGAGTATATCCCGAAAAACTCTGGCCGTATGGACGCGTCAGCCTTCGTTCATCGTTTAACTACGAACGATCGCAGTAGTGCTTCACGTGCTCAGCAGTCTGCTGGAGGGCAAAACTCAACAGAAGCAATGAAGGGCTTGCCCGCAGATAACACGCCAGGAAAGCCGATCGGTGGGGCCCACCCGAAATCTTCGACAAAAACACCGCCACGAACATCTGTTCGAGCTTCACCACCTGCCGCCCTCCCAGCCTCAGCAAAGCGTCCACCTCCTCGACCAGCGAGCATACAACCATCCCCGATCAGGCCAAACCTTCCTCCCAGACCACCAAGCTCCGAGAGATTAGTTGGAGCACTGCCAACTAACCAGTCCTCTTTTCCGACTCAAGCATCTGGCTCCGGTGCTGGCAGAAATAGCGCTGGTAGTTCATCAAAGAGTGGCAGAACCTCGATGCCTGTGCAAAACATGCCGCAGGGGTACAACACATCCCATAAGCAAAAAATGCATGCGCGCACAGCAGGTATCAAGTTCAAGGCTGCATATAACGGGGCCGGTCCCGCTATCGTTCATATCGTAGAGAACGCGGCGGCATACTTTGAGGGGAAAGACTCTGCTGAAGTGATATCAGATCGCGCAAAATCGTACGAACGCTATCAGCTTAACGTGGACTTGTTGACGGAGATCTTCGATGGTCCCCTATCTGATTTTGAAAGCGACGACAACTCAATTGTTAGCCCTGGAAAAGAAATTGGGCATACTGAGATCAGAGCGGAGGGAGAGGCGGTTCTCAAAGATGTCCACATGGTGGATGTGAATGGAAACGACATCAAAGCACCAGAGGAAGTTGTGTCCCAGCAGCTGGCAAAGCGAATGGACGCAAAGGCGAGGGGCGACGTTAATATCGACATGGAAGCGTGGGAACAAGCCTACCGAAAGGCTGAAAAACTTACCCAGGAAAGCGACAGAACAAATATGCGTCTATTTCAGAGACTTGAGAGGGCAGAGAGTGAACAAGAAATCGAAACCGTGAGACGTGATTTTGAGCGAGAAAACGATATCCGTTTACCTGGTGCACCACCCCCGCTCATACGCCGGAAACTCGATAAGTCTTTGCCAGCTATGCAAATGCCAGACAACAAGTGCAACATTCTCAGATTCAAGGTGGCCTGAAGTCCATACAATGCCCTTTGCTCTAAATGGGCAGGTACGCGCGGCCACGGCACTACCGTCGACTCTACGCCCCAAAGCCACGGCCTCTAGGCCTTTGGGGTGGGCTCGAGCCTTGGGCCCGTAGTTGCCGTCGAGCTTTCACAACTGAGGGATGACCATCCGGGTTATCTATGGCCTGAAAAAGGAAACTGAGTGCTTCCCGTTCAATGGGCCGCAGCTGAGGATGCCAAAAACGAATGAGGAGCACAACTCTGTCTTGTTCGTTCGACTCATTCATGGTCTGATGAAAGAAGCTTGTGTTGAAGACTAGACCCTTACCATTTTCCCAATACCTTCGTTCACCGGCCACTTCAATCCAGGACTGCTTCTCTGGAGCGCTCAGAGCTAAATGCATCGTGAGAATAAAGTTGCAATCGTCAGTGTGCAGTTTTATTCCAGTACCAGCAGCCTGACGGGCAAAGAAGGCCTCCACCGATGGTACATGCGCTTCACTGTCCTGGAGAATGGCTGTGGTCTTAGGAAAAAGGTTGATATTCACTGGATCCCAAACCCTATCTTGTAAAACAAGAGTTCTCCAGTCTGGGCCGTATGCATTTGCTGCTTCGACTACGGGAGGTGCCCAAATATTGTTACCTTTCCTCTGGATGTCTTTTTGTTTCATAGCTTCTCTAAGTTCTGCAGCAATAGTTTCCCAGTTGTTTTCCAGATGACGAACCCACTGATAATCGTTATCGAAATCTTCTATAAACGGAGTTGCATCGAGGCCTTCGATGAAACTCGTCGCCCTTTGGTGAGTGATTTCACCCTCGTTGACTTCCAATTTCTTCCCATCTACGACATTGCGAAAAGACTGTATCACACGCGAGATGCTTTTGCCCCTGAATTCATTCTCAAGTGCTTTGAGGATCGTGTCAGCAAGAGAGACTTCGTTCCGCATATGTATAGTATTTCTGATGGCGTGCGACCGCCTTTTCACAAAAGTGAAACTGAAATTCGCATTGCGAGGACACCATGACGATCTGAGGAGATTAGGATGAAGACCAGAACTGCAGGCAGGCACGGTCGGCACGAACGTTAGTGATGGAGTTGCGATTTGATTGTTGAATTTCATTTCTCTTTGCGAGCACCATAAAGGCATAGCCCAGAGTTCGGAAATGTGTGTAGACAGACCAAGACAGGCGTGCCCCGATTCGCCGCGAACCACAAAAGCGATTGCCCCCTTTCTCTGCGTGCCTTAGTAAACGCTTCTGTCCAAAGTGATGGATAGCCGAACTGTTTCTGATATGGACACGTGACCCCTGCCACATACATATGAAGAAGCTCTATTCAGCAAGCGAGCCAAATTGGGGCAATCTCATGCACAGTCGAGATAACAAAGGGGGCTTTTCTCAAAAATTCTGGTAAAGTTTACAGAGAGGACTCGCGCAATAATGCCGAATTGAGTAATTCCACGAGTGTAATTGTCGGAATTTGCCCGGGGAGCGGGCGGGTGATCTGAAACGTGTCCACGGGGGGCGCGGGCCACTGGCGCTCTGTGCGCGAGGGGGGGCACAGGCCGGTGTGGCGCGATGTGCAAGGCAGGAGGACGGGCCTTTTAGTTTGCTGCGGGTGGTGCGGTTGGGTTTGCTGGGGTAAGTTGTTGTGTGTGGGGACGAAGACGTTCACCGTCTTCGTCCTCAACCTTTATACTCCCACTCGACGCCAAGTCGAGTGGACTAAAAGTGTACTCACCCCCCCCTTTAGTGGGGTNNNTCCTTGGCCGGAGAAAGGGAGTGCTGGTGCTACGGTGAGGATTATCCCCCCCCCCCCCCCCCCCCCCCCTTTTAGTGGGGTGCTACCTATAAATGTGCCTCTATCAGGCTTAATTAGGCGTTTGCCCGTTTAGGTAATGAGGATCCTTTAGGAGGATCCTCAAGTTGTAGGTAGTTGAATTGTCTACGTGAGGTAGTGCCACCCACTAGGGACAGGTGGCACAATCTTAGGGATTACGATATTGATAGACTCTGGTAAAAGTTGTGACACTCCTCTTAAGAATAAAGTCGGCACCTTCGGGTGCCTCACGACTTGTCGATCCACTGTTCGATAGGGTGACGTAGTGTTGAATCTGTCAGTATTTGATCTAGAACAGTGCATCGCTTAACCTTTGTGAGCGCGTCAGCAGGGTTGTTCTCGGAGCGGATGAAACCAATATTCCGTAGTTCGTTCCGTTGATATGAATCTTTAACCACCTTGATGTCGATCATTAATCGTTTTTCTGTGGTAATTGTTGACTTGGTTATCACATCGAAGAGCGATGAGCTGTCTGTGAGCATCAAAATAGGAATTGGTTGGTTCGTCATTATCTCCATGTCCTTTTTGATGGCGAAAGTCATGTCGAAGGCGTCGGCGAAGGCCATAGTCTCGCTTCCTCGGACTGATCTAGAAACTCTTTTGGAATTGTGTGATGACCAATACAACGGCTGGCACTTGTTTTTCTTGTCAGCCAGGAACACGATGTACCCAAGTTGGGACGTTCCGTCATGGTTGTTGCTATAGGCAGCATCCGAATACGTTTGTAGTCGGAGAGAGCCTTTGTCTAACTTTGGATAGAGAAGTCTCTGTTCGGAGGTTTTTCTGATATGACGAACAACGGAGTTGAGAAGCTTTCTGTGGGTTGACGGATTTGAGTTGAACCTTGTTTCGGTGACTTGCGTTGATTGAGCGACAGCACATGCTATATCAGGTCTGGTTTGTAGAAGCCACATTAGCTTCGCTCGATGAGAGCTATACTGCGCAAAGGTGACATCCTTAGGTAGAGAATCAACAGTCTTGATGTAGCGTTCTTGATGGATACAGAATCCGTTGCTGGTTGTCTCAATATTGACACCGCTAAACTGTATCCTGTCAAATTCTCTATCTCTACACTGAAACCTCTTCTCAATACTTTGACTTAGCTTTAAATACTTTGCGTCTCCGGCATGTAGACAGTCGTCGACATGCGTAGCACACAGACCGGCGAGCTGATTCGCAACCTTCTTGAAAAAGAGTGCACCATCTGTGGTACTTGCACTCATTCCAACGTCTTTCAAAATGTGGTCTCTTAAGGTCCTTCCCCAGTAATCTCCACTATCTGCGAGGCCATATAGTGGTTTTAACAGCTTAAGTAGTCGATTGGGACCAAGTTCAAATTCTGGTGACGGCTTAATGTACACATCTCTCATTAGCTTCTCTGCACTTTGAAGATAAGCCTGCATAACGTCAGTTGAGAATAGTCGGAAGTCAAATACTGCTGCTAACCCTATTAATATTTTGACTGAAAACTGTCTGGCCGTAGGATTATCGTGAACTAAAGAAGATTTCAGCTTGTCAGCGTAACCTTGAACAAAAGAGCGAGCCTTGTAGACTTCTTTGTTCGTACCGGAGTCCTTGATTGTTAAGACGAAGCGGCCTTCCATAATGTTAGCATTACGTGGTACTTCATCATTAGTAACAATTTTCCAGGTCTCCCTCTTGATGAGTCCTTCTATCTCCTTCTTTTTAGCTGCAGAGAACTGGCGTGCTCTAGGGTCACTAGGTTTGATTTCTTCAGTGATAAAGGAAGAGAAGGGAGTCTTTGGAGCAAGGGGAGAACGGAATATTCTTGTTTGATAGTGGGTAATCGGACTGTGATCTCGGTAATATGGTTTGAGTTGGAAGGCGTTGAACATTTGCCTGTATGTTCCTTCCCTGTTCTGAATAGTTATCATTCTTCCTTGAACATGCATAACTATAAATGGTCCTAACCAGTTCTTATCCTGTTCACTAAAGACTAGTACTTCGTCCCCCTAGTTGATATGTCCTATCGGCTGCTGGAGGTATCTGTCTTGTTAATGCTGCTTGTATTCTTCTTTCGGCTATGATTGCATTCATTTCCATCTGAGCAGACGTCAGTAGTCTCATTCGTTCTTCTTGTGTTGGAAGCTCAGTGCTGATGATGGGAAAACGAGGAGTTATCCCGAAGGCGAGAAATGAGGGTACAAGCCCTTTTTCTCCGATTGTGTCGTCCATAGCTTTTACCGCTATGCTGAGAAGAATTTTATTGTGTGCTTGGGGGTAGTCAGCTCGCACTTTTCTGTAAATTCTTCTCAGAGGTTCGTGGAGTCGCTCTCCGATTCCAAGGGAGCTGTGAGCTTTGACTCCGGGAATTCTGAGCTGAATGCCGGCATGGTCAGTGAGTTGGCGCCAGCGATCAGAAGTAAAGGATGATCCTTGGTCAACTCGGAGACGGTTTGGGTAACCGGTGTACATGGTACATCACATTTGAATGAAGGCTAACCAAATACCTTCAACACTTTAGTCGAAGTCTTCATCGAGGAAGGCAGCAGCTGAGAAACGAGTAGCCGTGTCGACGATGTGGAGTAAGGCCTTTCCGTCTAGGAACATGAGGTCCATAGATAGTTCTTCCCCAAACTTAACGGAATCCTCCGTTGGAAGGGAGGCCTTGAAACGAATGGGGGTTGGTCCCAAGCGCTGACAAGTGTCACACGCTTGTTTAATCTGGTCCAGGACCTGTTTGGTTTCCTGGTTCGTTTCGTAAGGTCGAGCCATGCGGAGCAGGTTGTAGAGTTTATCCGTGGCAGGATGGGAGAATCCTCTATGAAGGCGCAAGAGTTCTGGAGAAGAAAAGAATATGTGCTCACGTTTTGGCCATTCGAGATAGACATGGCCGTTCTTGCGAAGCAGAGGAGTTCGTAGTTGCAGTTGAGGACAATGAGGGTGATTCGTGATAGTGTTGACGAATATTCCGTACTTATCTAGTAGATCTAAGCCTATTAGTAGTGGTACGTCTGAGTTAACTACATCTACTTGTTCCATGGTAGCGTGAGCGTCCGAAAGTGGTATCGTAATGGTCAAAGAGCCTAACGAGGGTTGACGGTCGTTGCCAAAGCGATAGCGGTTGTTGTTGGAAACGAGTCTAAACTTCGTGCCAGTGTATCGACAGTATGCCTTAGCCTGTCTTAAGCCGATTACTGTGCGTTGTGCACCAGTGTCAAGACATGCTCCTTGCCAAGGAATCCTTTGAGTTGAAGCAATGTGGCTCTGGTTGTAGACAACGAATTCGTGGTGACGTGGTCTTCTTTCTCTGTGGCGTGGAAAACGAATAAGGCGACTTATCGCAGAACGACGTTCAAGTTTAAACTTGCATCTCTTTTTAGCGCGGACAGTTTCAAAATAAACAGGTTGAGGTGTATTATCTTGGAGATGGGAACTGTCGCTCGCTAAAAATCCGAAGGATCTATAGTCCGATGAGAGTTGGTCTTGTAGCCGTAAAAGGATTCGTTTTTCACGTGGTTGTTTACAGCTTCTTCTGTCTCGTCGGTGTCACTGTCAGTCACGCTGTCAGATTCATCTGAGTGTTGTGACTCAGAACTGTTTGGGGCATTTGGTTCTTCGAAGTCTTCGAAACAAGTGTCATTGTGGTGCATGATGTCTTCCACTTGATTACTAAGTTCATACAGTATGTCCTTGACGTGGTTAGGGCGCGCTTTGATCATGCGTCGTACATTGCGTATGACAGAGGCGGGTTTAGGGCATTCTCGGATGAAATGATACTTGCTACCACAGTTGTGGCAGCATCGTACGTTCCCAAAACGGTCTTTTCCGTTTATGGAATCCTTAAAACGTTTGGACGGTCCAGAGAAGTTGCCACGAGGATTTGACGAGGAGGATCCAGGTCGACGGGGTATACCGTATGTATTTTGTCTTTGGAAATGTATGCCGGGGAGGGTTGGCATCATTGACGGCGTTCTGAGGGGTCACGCTTACGGCTTTCGTTCTGTTTCTGCTCTTGGAGCCAAGCTGCATCAAGTGCAGTATACATCTGCTGAAAAGTCCAAGGCGGCGTGGAAGCAAGGCTTTGAGTCAGAACAGGCTTAGCCCATTCTGTTCCTATCACGGCGTCGTGAAGGTACTCTGTCTTATCGGGATCTGATCGATGCGTTTGGAGCCCTTGTGGTGTGTACCGAGTGATGGTTTCGCGAAGTTCTTCTAGTGCTTCGCTGACGGAGCAGTTTTTTGTCTTGAGAATCTGTGACAGGCGAAGATTCTGCAATAATTTTGTAACTCTGTTCTGCCGCGTAATGCTGTTGAACTCTTGAAGCATCCGTTGGACCGCTGAGTCGAAGGATGCTTGGGTACCAGCAATAGAAGTGCGATAGAATCTTTTAGCTTCGCCATCAAACACATTGTGAAAGTATCGCAGCTTCTGCTCTTCGTTGACGTTATAATCATCAGCGGCGTCGCAATAGTTATCGATTACCTCGTTGATATCTTCACCTATTTTTCCGGA